AGTCCTCAATAAATAGTTTCCACCTCCCTGTCTTGCTCCTTTTTATCAAACTGATTATATTGGCCTGCACTCCCTTGCTGCCTAGCTACTCACTCAAATCTGAAATCTCATACTTCTTCACTCTCATATCTCATCCCTCACACAATCTGCCCATTACATTATTAAAATTCTGACTGTCAATATGTCATCTGGTGGACCGTGATGTGCACCAACGATAATCACATTCTCCATGGTCATGATGCTATAAGTTCAAGCCATTCCTACCAGACACTCAGCCACACCGGAAAGCCTGCCAGATTTGGATATTTAATTAAACTTCCGCACAGCATGCTCAGCAGAGAATTATGGGTAGTTGTGACATCCGCCAAGAATTGTGATGTCTGCCAAGATGAATTGGGCTCGGGCCGATTATCCATAATCGTCATGCCGCGTCATGCCGGACAAAAGACCCCAGGGGTAACCTACTCAGGCGCTGAAGGAAGAACTCAAGACGACCTGGTTTCGCTCGCCAACGGTATGTATGTGTTCTCGGCGCACCCGCCGGCGCGTCTCAGTGGGGCCCCAAGACCAACGCAGGCATCCAAAGCGCATCCGCATCCGTGATCCGCTCCGGGCGCGACTGCCGCTGCCGCTCCGCGGATCGCTATCTGACGACTCGCAAGGGTCCTATGCCCGCCGCCGCGCCGCTAGCCCGATCAGCGCTAGCCTGCAGCCCCAGCGCCAGCACAGGCTGTAGCTGCACTTGTACTTAGCTGCGAAGCGGTGCGAAGCAGAAGCACTGCAGGTGGCGGAGCACTGCAGGTGGCGGAGCACTGCAGGTGGCGGAAGTCGGACTCGCGGCGTCGAGCTGCGACAGCGGCCTCCGTGAGCCGCGCAGATGCCAGAGAATCATAGTTACCACCCAGCGAGCGTTCGCCTCGCTTCAGAGCGTTTCAGAGCAGATAGCGCAGGTCAGGTACACAGCTGGCTCCTCACCGGACGCAAGCTCCGCTGTCTGCGTTCAACGTTTTCACCTAGTATTGAATAGACGCGGCGCTGCGCGGGAGCGCTGACATACTAACCCCGTTGATCACTTGCCACAAGTCCCACTATCCATTCAGTCGACAATGATCACGCCCATGTCAGTGCATCCGGTGCCCGATATCGCCTTGTATGATTTTGAGCGTGCGCCCCCACTCGGCGTGCACGGAGCAGACGCAGATGCGGGCTTCGCGAATCGAGAAGGCGGGTACGGGGCGAGTTGGAGTCTAGCACTTGTTACGCAGCACGCTTGCGCTTGTGCGTTCAGATTCACTATTTGTGTGTGGGCAAATACGGGGCCCACCGACGGTGGGCATCTGCGGCCGCCAGAGGAGGCGGCGTCGGCTGCATGCACGCAAAAGGCCATCCTGGCCCAACCATCGACTGCAGAAGAGGAGGAAGGTTCCAGGCTTGACTACTATGTTACCAGACGCATTCGGGTTCGCTCGTAGGAACCATCACGACTTGGCCGTCACCACACCCGCTCACTCAGCAGGGCCGAGCGCATCACCACCCCAAGACTCAATCAAGATCAGAAAGCAATCGCAGCTGCATTCTCTTCTATAGACTAAGACACGATGAAACTCTATGGGTGGGCAGTAGCCAATACGATAGTACAAATAACGTACATCCGCGGAACCTGTATGCGTGCACTGTATGCGTGATGGGGAGAGAAGTGGGTGATGGAACGGGTCTGTGTATGATAGGAAAAAGATGCAACGGACGGCGTACGTGGTACTGAAGCAAACCAGTCACTAGAGCGGAAGCACACGCGCGCGAAGTAGGGGAGTGGCGAAGGCACGGAAACCACCGAGCGCGAAGACCCGCACGAAGGGGGGACTCCGCGCAAGCGACGCCGTGGGAAGACACTCAGAGCCGATGTGACGATCCCACTCTGTGTTTTGTGCGACAGCGGTCAATATTTGAGTGTGTGTGTGCGTTATACAGCGGTATACCAAGATGATGAGGGGGATATATGGGAATGAGCGGCTGGGGCAGATGCGCAAAGCAGATGATGACGAGATGAGATAGCGAGGGGTGGTGTTGCGGGCAGGACACGATATGTAGGCGAACGAAGATCAACGATGCGCTATGTGCAGGCAAAAATGTCCGTATGCAATGAGTGGGCAACGGCATCTTTTTCGGCGGGCCGATCAAGATCGTGGGTGGGGTGGGATGGTGCGGCGCGTATCCACACGAGAAGCACCGAGTGCGGAGTTGAGGATGGAGTCAGGCCCTGAGAGTGAATGCGAAGGTGGAGAGAGGTGTTTCGATACAAGCGCCGACTGGTCCCGGACGGATCCTCTAGCGTCGGCGACGACCCAACAAGGCAATCATGACACCAGACGCGACGGCTTTCGCCCTCGCATGCGGAGCGCGGAGTGCTCGTCCGCGATGATTGCCTGCCAGCTGCCGGAGATGGACGTTCCGTCAGCGAGCTTCTCGGTATGGAAGAGTGACGTCCATGAGGCGCGGTAACTCTCTTTACTTTCCGAATAGAGGGGGGCGTCGTCCTGCAGGACGCCTGCTGGCAGTGTCCGCTGCAGGTTCGCGCACGCAGCAGAGTCTGCGCGCTGTCGCGTCAGCGTCTTTGAGCGGCCATCGGCCTGATTCGAGACGGTCCATGAGCGGAAGCGTGCGGTGATAGCGCTAATGAGGCCTGAAGGCTGTGCATGTGCAGCGATAGGCGTCTCGTCGGCAGGTGTCGCGAGGAAGAATGAAGACGATGGTGTTGTGTATGCCGAGTCTGTCGGACAGCGGCTGGAGGATGACGATGCAGACGGGGGCAGTAGTGGTGTACAGATAGGCAGAGATGGCTCAGCGGCAGCGGGGGTAGGCCTGGACATGCAGAGGCTAGGCGGAAGCGGGCGGCGAGATGACAGAATGAGGCTTGGCGGCTTCAAGTCCGCAAGAGACATGGTGGGCTCCGCTTCTGGTGGGCCAGCAGGGACGTCGCTCGCCCACGCATGGATGCCTGCGTCTCCCTTCCCAATCCACCTGCTACTCCCGTTCGGGTCGAGTATGTTGCCAAAGCGGGACGAACACTGGTCGCAGTCGTCGAGCTCCGAGACGGACTCGGCGGAGGCGAAGGCGGCGTTATGTTCCGCGTGTCGCCGCGCGGAGAGGTATGACGAGGAGGCCATGGACGGGCGATCTGATGCGTAGCATTCTGGCGAGCAGTAGGGTGCGGCGCCGTCCTTGATGCGGAAGTGAGAGGGTGCTGCGGAGAGGTGAGGCGGGTGCACGTACCACGTCGATGTATCTGTTGCAGGTGAGACACCAGTTGAGATCCATGGCGTTCATCTCTTAGAAGGAATGATGTTGCACGGGAGAGAGGAGGCGAAGGCGGGAGGATGAGGAACGGGCCAGTGGCGGGCGCACATATAAGAGTTCTTTGGCGAGAGGGGACCTGGCAAGCGTCGATGCAGATCTGAAGCTTGGTTAATTTAGTCGATTTTGATAACAAATTGTGACGCTAGCCTGATATGGCGGATGTGTGACGGAGACGTGACGGAACCGAGGGAGGGGCTGAGGATGCTTCATCTGCTGCCGAGACGAGGCCGCGGCTGCCGAAGGGGATCAAGAGGAATCCAGCCCAGCCCGGGCAGCAGACGAGCTCCGGTCGGTCGCCCTTTGCAGTGACGTCGTGTGCGTTCCTCGCGAGGGCGACGACGGGTGCTGGTCACGCGTCGTGACAGGAAGCGGGACGTGGCTCACGTTCGGAACTCTATTCATCTGCCGCCGAGACTCGTGAGATCGCCATCACTACCACGAATCTTGCGAGGAGGACCCTTGTCGATGTACCCTGGCTATGGAAGCACTGTCGATATGGTCAGAGATCGCGGCCACAACGGTAACTTTGATGTCTGTTCAGTTCATCTGACATGCTCCCCCTCACGCCAATTCGCCACCAGCCTCGCATTCATTTCTCGCCCACGACATTCTGTCACCTTCGCCTTCTCGCCTTCCGGTAAGATACGAGCACGCCCACTTCCTTCTGCACCGGTCAGACACAGGCTCAAGTACCCAGCGTGCGCTCCACCCACTCCAGTCGCTGCGCACCCACTCCCAAGCCACTGGCAAGCTCGCCCGTGCGAACGCTGTGCGATCCATCTGCATCTCCTAATTGCCACATTAAACCTGTGGGAGCCCGCAGCCCGCGCCTCCTGTTTAGGGCGATCGCCAGTCTGCTGCTAGCGCACAGAGACCATGTCGTGCGCCCGCCCCAAATCACACAAGCTGCTGATTCGCGCTCGGCATCATGATCAATTGCTGTTCACCGCCTTCGATGGCTCGCACCACTCGATTTCGACAGACTGCGCGCAGCTAACCCGCTTTTCAATCTTTCAAATTCAGACTATCACGGCAAGCGGACCCTACACGTCGACATTACTGCAGAACCGCGAAGAGACGTATCAGACGCAGGCCAAGCCGACGGGCACCCAGCAAATGGCTATCAGCACCCGCCCTAGTAATAAACTCGTGAGCGGGGATCACCACGCCCACTCCTTCCACCTTCCATCTCCCAGCGTCTGCAGTCACACTCTCAGCCCACCGGGGCGCACACATAATTAACCTCTTCCATTGATGCACCGCAGCGCGGTCTCGTGGTGTCCAGATAGAGGCAGCGTGCCGCTCCAATCCCGCCCCTTCACCACTCCTGCGCGTCGCATTGTGTCACAGCATTGAACGTGTCCACTACGCAGATTTCGTTCATTCGGGGATTGCACGGCCTTAGGGCCTCTCCTGCAGCGCGACAACGGGCAGTCCGCCGGGCGGTTAGTGAAAAAATTTGCGCGCGCGCTTCTCTCTCTCACGCCGAACGTTTTGCTCTTTGTTATATATGCATTTGTCCTAGGGTGCCCTTTGCAACGAGGCGATGTTCAAAGTTTAGTTTTCCAATTCTAATTCTAGCGGCGGCACCATCGTCATCGCGGACTACGCTGGACCGACGGGAACGGGCGGAGCCCTCGAACGCGCATGCCACGCTCTTGCCAGTGATACCACGTTCCCGCGAGAGCGCGTGGCATGAGTGGGTCACGATATGTGCCCGTCGCGTCCGATGCGCAAGAACCCACAGATGGCATCTCGCTCGTCGGTCACCGCATATGGGAAGAGTGGAGCCCGCACGCGCGTGGAAGGGAGGGTGGAGGGGATGGTTTGGTTTGGCGCAGCGGCGCGTGCCATGCCATGCATATGTCAGACTCGGCGGAAGCACATTCGCACATCGCGTCGCATCCAACTTGGAGCGGGCGTAGCTGCATCGCGCGTCATCAGAGACCGCTGCACACTTCCACAACTTCTCTGCGCCCACCCGTCGGTGCGGGCAGTGCGTGGACGAACCTTGAGCTTGGAGCTGGAAGCCCGAAGCCTTGCCTGATCGTCGGAGGCTTCTGGCGCTGCGGGCAAATCGCTGGCTCCACTGTTCATGCGCCGCTCCTTCGCAGCCGTGTTCTCGCTTGACGTGTACGATATATGCATATATCTCCGCGCTGGCATTTTGGGGCTGACTTGATGTACCGTGATGAAAGGACCTCCGACGTGTTGTGTAGCGACTTATTAGCGATGTCATGATCAGGTGCACACTCATAATGTTACATTAATCTCATCGTTGCTGTGCGAGCACTCACGCGCACGATCCACAAAGACCTGCGTGTCGTCTGCTGGCGTTTGATAGCAGCGAACACTCTCGAAGCCAGCGAACATCGAGGAAGCAATGGAAGAGCGAGAGCACCAGATAGCGTCGGAGGCGGCCGTTCAATCGCATCTTCTATCACTCACCAGCCCAGATTACAGTGAAGCCCTGTCAATCGGCCCAGATCCAAGTGGAGCAACCGTACGTCCATCCATCAGAAAATCTACGAACAACTGTTGTACAGAGTCACAGCCCATGCAGCCAATTCCGCCGCGTCCTTCCTGCCCTGTCCTGTCTCCGCCTGTAACGGTGTCCCTCGCTTACGTCGCAAAGCCCCGGCAACTTGTTCCCATGGCCACTAAAACCGGTGAGCGAGTGAGAAAACAAAATCGCAAACGTAACCGCAAGGCACAGCGGTGAGACGAAGCCAGCGACGGTCACGGTCAGAATTCGTCGCACATGGCACCACGCAACGCACTCAGTCCTGCGCCCTCGCATCACTGCGTCGCAACATGGTAGTTTGTCCCCCCGTTTTCATTGATCCTTCTTGCTCTCCTCCGTCGCTTCTTCGCCGGCCTCCTGAGGCCTGGACGGGGCTGGCTTGCTAGTAGCCGGAGTAATCGCCGCAGCGGCCCCGGCCTCTATGCGTCGCGCGTACCCCTCCCCAGCCTAATAACAAGCAACGCGATGACGGCACCGCGATGAAAAAGTGAGCCCTCTGTATCACATGCAACGCCGGGATTACGATACGGTATGATATGGCAAACGTACCTGAAGCACGAGCACAGCACCCAGGAGCACAATGATGATCGTGTTTCCCGCGGAGAGCACGCGCAGCGCCTCGACCTGGTCTTTGCGCGTGAGCTCGGGAAGCGGGGCGGCCACCGTGTGGGACGCGGGGACGCCCACGGAGAGGTAGACGGCCAGCGCAAAGATGTACGCCGCTGCGCAACCGTGCGTGCGTACGTGCATGAGCTCCGGATGGTTGGCGAGTATGTGAGGAGGGGCTGGACCACGCACCTAGCGACGAGCCGTCGAAGAACATCGCGCTCTCATCCCACTTGTGCAGCTTGCCCACCAGTCCGATGATCCCGACCCCCATTATAGCATGCATCAACGCCTATACGACACAAAAGAACGGTTTTCACACCGTAAGGGCCATACGACAGGAAGCAACAAGAGTTCAGCGTCCCAATCAGCATGAGAGAAACGTGAAACATGCCTTGATACCAGCCGGAGCGTTGTAGAACGTCGTATAGAATTCCAATCCATCCTTGATCACATCTTCCGAGAGAGGTGTGAAGAGCACCCGATAATCCACGTTCAAGCAAATGAAGAGGACCCCTGCGGAACACGTACAAGTCAACAATAGCAAGGGTAAGAGCCGTCGCACGACGCGGCTCACCGAGGAAGAAGGAGACGGATGTAAGGACGGCAGCCTGCCTGTAGCCCATGATTGCGCGATATGGTAGTTGCGATGTGCTTTGTTTTCTCTCGCTCACGCTCACGCTGGCGGGAAAATGCAGCGGGTCGGAGCCTGCACGAAGGAGAACAAGGTGCTGGTAGCGCGTGTGCCGTTCTAACCCAGTGCTTGATCGCACGTTGATCACTAACCCGGCGGCCAAGCAGGCACAGCGGCGTCCATCCTCCAAGCTATCCTTATTAGCTTCAAACCAGCACACCTGGACCCACACTCATCACCCCGGGCACATCTGAGACAGCACCATGCGGGGGTATCCTATTGAGAGAAACAAAAAAAATGCAACCGTAACTGAACCCATACATATGTACTAACACTAGTCTGGCCCCGCGTGTAGATGTGGTTGGGAATATACAACACTCTCCGCGATATACTGTAACGTGTGTGATGAGATAACGTGGTTGAACGACAGCACTTAAACGACCCTCTTGCCATACCAGTCGAGACCCTGTGCTCAGCAAAACAGGATCTGAAGGAACGTTTACACGCCTATTATCCTATTTCGGCGTTGATAGAGGTGACGGAATCGCAGGCGACGGAGATCCGTTCTGAGAAGGACGCGGACTTGGCCTCGGCGACACCGGTAGTCCCACAACGCGACTATGTCGACGGCTGGCCTTATCTGTCACGGTGATATTCAAGCCCCTGGATGCAGCCAGATGAGACGCGCGCGACTGTATGGCCCCTGATGGTGACATCCCGGTTCCATTCACCTCTGGCGGATGGAGCGAATCCACAAACGCTGAGGGCTGTGGGAGATGCACAGAGCTCGACGTCGCCGAGGATTCCGCGAGGTCCGAGTCGTTCTCAGTCGTATCGTCCACGCTTCCTTCGATTACAGACGCTTCCTCTCCGTCTGATGGTCCATCGTCTGGCGTAGGCGCAGCTGGACATGGCGCGAAGTTGGAAGTGAGTAACCTTGCGGTGACACAAGATAACGACGAAGGGGAAGGCGTACCTTGTAAAGCCCTGCCTGATAAGCCCAACAATTGGTCAGCAGCTGTATCCGTATAACGTCTGCTGTTCCGCCGGTCGAGGCTAGCTCTGTCCGCACCCTGGTCCCCGGCAGACGGCTCGCCCTCGTCCAGCGTCCCGTCGACATTGAATACGCGCTTGAACTCGCCCAGCATGAGACTGAAGACGCCCGCCGGAATACCTAGCGTCGGACTGAACACGATCCCGACGTTTCGCATTGTCATCTTATTCACGTGTGCATTCTGCACGATCAGGATGAGGTGCGCCGTGAGCGCACGCAGCAGGCTGTAGTTTGCAATCGGTAAGGACGCGACGAGGTGGGAAAGGTCCTTAATCCGTTCCTGGGGATCGACGAGGTCTACCCGTTTGCGGTTAGGCGTGGACTCAATTGTTCGCTGCACATGACGTACCAACTACGGACAGGAAGCGCAGGTGCAGATCACGCGTCAATATACTCGCTGGCAGCTCGCGCAAGAATGTCTTCAGTAGTCCAGCTATCGCGTGAGGATCCCAGTACTCGTCCGAGCCTAGCAGATCCACGTCGCCCTCTATGGTATCTCCGTTAGCACAGCGCAAAGGCCTCGTAAGAGACTACAAGCGTACCTGCGTTAAAGCGATCCTTGAGGCTTTTGATAACAGCGGAGCTACCACTCAGTCGGTAAATGCCCTCCTCCTGATCAGCTTCCTTGGATTCCAGGTACTGTATGCATCGGAAGACGATAGCTGGCAAGCTAGCGATCTGGGCGACCTCTAATGACTCGTCCAGAGTGACGCCGAACACCGCCCGGGGAACTATAGCAGGAACACTCGGCTTGTCTGCGTCTGCTGCGTCAGTACGCGATGTAACTTCAAAGAGGTGAACAGCATCTGACCATGTCGGCCGAATCCCCAGAAGGTTCTTGATTTGGCCTTCTCTCGTCGATCAGTATTTTGCGGCGGGGCCTCCAACGAGACGTCCTTACCGCCGAACTTGTATCCAGCGGGGATGAGCGTGCCATTCATGGGCGCAGAGATCTTCGGCTTGCCGTGCGAGTCTGCGCGAGGCGTGCTCGCGGTAAAGGGTTCCTTTTCTGGCGATGGGGCGCGTTCTGGTATCGTAGCCGTTTTGAGCGGGTTGACAGACATTCGCCGCGCCTTCTTGCGTTGCTGGTCAGAGGACGTGTGTCCCACACGTTGGTACACAGCTCTAGGATCAACAAGTTCAGGATAGTGTCCGAGTTCCGAATTCGCTCGCAGCCCAACAGAGACAAGGCTTTCGCTATCGTCCGTGATCAAGGGGGACGTCGTGGGCAAGGAGGTCGACATGGGTCCATCCGACGATATCCGATCTATAGGGGACGATGCATGCGACTTCGTTGGGCTATCCGTGTCTTCGGGACGCGCCATTACATTAGGGAATAACTTGCCATCGCTGACATCCGTGACGACGTTGCCCGTAGCAGATGGTCTGAAAGGGATCCGCTTGCTTGGGGTGCCGACAGAGTCAATTGAAACGGCCGAGCTTGTGCTCGAACGGGGTGGCTCTGAGGGAGGCTGCGATGCAGAGCCCACAGCAATAGGACTAGGGCCGTTCTGAACGACAGCGACCTGATCCTCTGTATACGTGCCCGTGACATACCGCACGAGCTCTTCCACCCAGCTGTCCCGGTCAGCATCGCTATCAGCGCAGAGAACGTGCCTCGAGCTGGAGCCCCCTGGGCCACGCTTCGCTTCGATGATGAGGAACGCATGCCGGTATTCGTTTTCTTCGTCCGATTCCCGCCTATCTGGGGCCCTTTGTTGGCGGCCGATTTGGGCGCCGGTGATCGTGATAGAACCCAAATGCGCGCCCCCACGCTACGTCACCAAAGAAGTGGTCAGTAAGCGCAGGCACGACATAGGGCGGGCAAGTCACACGTGCGACATAGCGATGGAAGGGTACTCACGCTTTCATAGTATTCCAAGGAAGGCCCCTGCAGCACGAAGTACCTGCTTTTCCATCCACCAAAGTTCTTGCCTCTCTTCGTCAGATAGCCTTCCTTGTATCCCGCCTTGAAGACAGGTTTCTGCGCCTCACGGACGATGTCAGATGTGAAAAAGGCGATGATCTCGTCCTTGTTCTTGACGGGGAGGGCAATCAACGACCGTAGATAATGCTCGAGGGCGCTCTGTACACATCGCGAGGTGGTCAGCGGGTACACACGGCGCGCGGATGCCCGAAACATTGAGCCAGAGAGAGGAGAAGGAGAGACGATAAGAAAAGACAGTTTCAACAGCAATCCAATAACACACTGAGGACGTCCAATCAAGAAGCAGAATGCATCACAACGTTCACACGAGGGTTACGTGAGGCCAGAGAACATGATTCAGGTGTCAGAGGACGAACCAACGTAACGAGGGCTCGAGACGGGAGAAGTTTGAATGGACCATTCAAAGAAGATGCAATTGGTGTCGAGGCGCTCACCTTTCTCTGGTCAACCTTTGCCGGTGCATGATCGCGCCAAAGTCGGCCTTCCGGCAGTGAGACCATCTTCTTGATTAAGCTCTTCCCGACACTCGCACGGACTCGAGCGTCAAGTCCCAGCACGTCGCCATACAGTTTCTCTACCTTCCACGGCTCCTTGCCACTTCCTGGGTAAACAGCGATGACAAAGGACAGCAACTCCTTGCCCCGGTCGTTCGGCCGAATGGTCGAGTTTACGACGTGCACCTTTGTGTGAGGAAGATCGCTAGCAAGAAGGGGGAGTGCACGGAAAGTTATTTGAGTCTCGCCGGGATGAATAGGGAACGGAGAAATTGGGGTGCTCGGTTGAGATGATTGAACCAGCAGGTTCGTTGTGCTTGTCACCGACGTTGCATAGCTCGTCGTCGGAGGCAGAGGGAAATCCTCGGCAACGGCATGTGAGCTTGTTTCGGGATCTCGACTGTCCATGTCTTCCGTGGCATCATACGCGCTGCTATAACTGTTCTCCGCGTTGGATCTACGCCTCGTTCCATTCGTGCCGGAGTATGAGCTATCACCGTCCTCCATGTCCAGGAATGGTGAGGCTTCATCTCCACCACCCGTTCCCCTCACTCGCCCTCCAGCTGCACTCGCACTGGAAGAGCGACTCCTCACCGACTCAGCCGCCTCTACGATTTGGGGCATCTGAGGCTTCACAGGAGAACTTTGCCCTGTGGAGGTTGAAGGAAAGCCAGAGCCGGTAGTCATGCTGGGACTGGGTGCGGGCGAGTCGGTTAGATTGGCGTAATACCGTTTCGCCTCTTCTGGGAGAGATATGCGGGACTCGCGGGAGAGAGCGGGTAGTCGATTCGGGTCGCCATTCATATAAGGACTGAGAGAGTTAAGTTTCAATGCTTGTGGCTCAAGTAATTGCATGTCAGGCAAGGTTTGTCGTTCTACCAAGTCAATGTTCTGAGCTCGTACTGGAGAAAGAGGTTGTCGTGGCGGGGAACGACTATGTGGGAGATTAAATTGCGCTGGCGTTGCCGATGTTAACACGGCCACTTGAGTTGGCGGAGGAGCAGTGTCGAGAGATGGTCGGTGACCTTGTTGCCAATGACCAAGTACAGGATCGGCCATCTCAGTTGCGGACGAGCTCGCGGCAGCTGTCGCTGTTGTCGCAGAAGATGCAGATGCAGATGCAATATCTTGATCAACGGTCGGAGCAGTCGGAAAGGAAACTTTGACGGGACTTGACGCGTTATCGCCATTCCTAGTCCTTTCAGGTGTCACGTCTCGAGGGTATGGAGGATGTGGGATTGAATTCGTAGATGCAACGTTAGAAGACAAAGTCGAAGGTGTGATGGAGGAACCGCGCGAGCCTGATGCAGAGATGTTCAGGCTGGTTTGCGACCCAGCCTGTTCCCGTAATGTTGAACGGGAACGCGAAACGTGATCCTGCGAGTGAGAATGGTGAAGACTACGAGAGGCTGAAAACGTAGAGTTAGCTATCGAGCATAGCTCGCGCGAGCACACGAACCTATGTCTTCTGAGTTCGTCCGATTCATATTTGCCCTAGCATCGAACCCTTGAGAGGAGCTGAGCTCACTACTACGCAAGTGCGACTGTGACGCTGTTGAACGGAGGATAGCCTCCTTGCCTTCCCGCTTCTCCCGCCCCCGATGCGCACGAAGGAGTGCATCAGTGTTTTCCCCCAGACTCTGAAGCTTGTTTCGATACACGTCGCGTTCTCCGCGAACGCGCTCGAGCTCTTTCATTAGCTGGCCATAGCCGGACCGCTGCTTCTCGATGAGCTTCCAGAGCTGCGTGTTCTGAACGGACAGCGTGTTCCGCTCCGAGACGGCAGCATCAAGTGCAGACAAGGCGGGGTTCTGCGCGCTCGCGTGCGCGGCTATGAGTCCCTCGGCGGTGAGCAGTTGTGAACTTGGTGTCGTTTGGCTGGCAATGGAAAACGAGGGCGCTGTGCGCGGAACGGCGGGCGACGAGTTCAGCTCTGAGCGACTACTGGAGTGTCGTTCGCGAGAGGAAGAGCCATTAGGCTTGCTGCTCTGAGCCGTGGACGTGGTCGCCATGCAAGACACGGCAGCAGACAGCGAAAATCTCCCTTAGAAGATGAACAGTGAGAGAAGTTGATTAAGCGCTCAATATTTGGCTTGCAACTATCGTCCGACAGCACCGTCGTGTGCAATCTATCGTGAAACCGCGCAGTCTCGTGCCAGCTAGGCCTATCCTGAGATGGATTGAGGGGTAATAGGATGGTGTCCAGTGATGAGAGCAGAGACGAAGGAGCAGCTGAGCTTCGAATCGCGCGTGCCGCCATGGTCACCATTCAACAACTCGCGTTGCCTCCCACTAGTGCACCCGCTCAATACTATGCACTCTTCCCCATCACCGTATAGCCCCGTCAGATGGGCAATTGCATTGCTTCCATTCAACTTGGGCACCCTTCCCCAACATTTGTTGTTTCTCCATGCTGTCCCTCTTCCAACGGTGTCTAGGCAGCCCATCCCAGAGTGAGATGTCTTTGGTACTTGGAACAAACCAACCTGACGCTGGAATTCGTCCGTCGACAATGCGAAGTAACTATCTCATCAGATCTATGAGCAAAGTGACCCCGTACTGTGGTGGCAGATTCGAGATCTTATGAAGTTACATTTGTATTTCTCAGCTACCCGAGGTAAAGAATCGGTGAGCCTGTGCATAATGTCGTCGTTACAACCGTTACGTATGTAAGGCGTCCATCCGGAGGGCTCCTAACAACCGATTATGTTTGGCATCACCATACTATCTCCTAATCTCCCAGCTTTGATGCATCTCATGATCAACCCATCTCTGAAGTGCATCGGCTGCACCGACATTCGAAGAACCAACCTTCTTGCAGCTCCTTCTGCCTGTCCTGACAGTCCATATTCTCAACGTGCCCATAGCTGATACACAGCTCCTCCCCTGCTTGCACGGCCCGCTCCGTGACAAACCGTAACGCGCGTCCACTGCGTTCTTTCCGAACGTTTGGAGAACAATCTGGAGGGAACAAATATGGTCAGTGCTGACTTTACTTCCTGACGAGACGCGGGCCCGGTGCCCGCCCGCGCTTTAGACACTTACGATGGTTAAAGAACGACGGTCGCGGATACACAGCGAACCCAAGGCACTCGCTCTCATCGGTCAGCGGCACCTCCCAAATGCCGAAGGAGTTGCCTGGGTCAACGCTCAGCGCCGTGCGAACGTTCTCAACTGTGACAACACTTTCCAATCCGCGCAGCCTGTCCGTGCCACCATTCCTCATTCGCGCCCCTCCGTCCTCCTGCCGTCCTCCGCCGTTGCCTTCCTTCACCATTCCCGTTTTGTCAAGCGTTTCGGTAGACCTCTGATCCGACGCAGAGCTGCGTGTGAACCGTCCCTTCAGAGCCTGGTAGACCCTGAGTTGGTTCTCCAGAAGCTCGGGATACGTCCTTAGGTGCTGAAGCTCATTGGGCTGTAGAGACGCGAAAGTGCTCCACGTCGCACCTCCCAGCTCCAGCCCGGGCTCGCCGCCTTTTGACAGTTCCGCTTGGGTGCAATGCTGGGCTTGAAGGGTCGCCATCTTAGATTTCTCTGCCAGTCGCTCGCGGCATAGGTGGATCAGGGCAAGCAGCACATATCTAGCCATGTCGGTCTCGAAGTTGTCTAGCCGCAGGTTTCGCCATTTCCTCACTTCTTTGTGTGACTGCTCCTTTTGTCGTACTGCATCCCATTGCCGCTTAATAAAATTCTTGGTCATCGTCACTGCTTCTGGTTTCCGTTCAGCGCCGATATCCCTGGCCTTGCCTTTCTCCTTCTTTCGGCGTGCTTCTTCCAACGCCCGCAATAGTTCCATCGTCTCAAGCCCTTCCCGCGCAATCCACGCAGTCTGACATGTTTGGTCACAGAACCAGAGGCCGGCTCCTATAGCTGATTCGTGTTCGGAGCTACGGGATCCAATACCCTCATCGTCTCGTCGCGTAAGAAAACCTCGCCGGCCGCCTTCATACCGCCAACATTCGGCGCAGACCTCGTTTCTGAATTGCTTCCATATTGTGTATGAGTATGGTGTAGAGACATCTAACAGAACGGTATCGGCCGGCATGTCGCGGATTGCATGGTACGTGCGCCCAGTTCGCTCATCGATCTCCACGCGAAGAGGAATATCGTCGTTGTTCAAGCTTCCAAACAGCGCCTTCTCTGAATGGCGAGGTTCTTCCATGATATATGCTCCTGAACCTAGAAGTAGAACACAGCGGTTATGGTAGAGGCGTCCGAGATAAGATGTATCCGCGACAATACGCGCGCACAGTGCGAGCGAAAGATCGGCCTCGCCACGTGGTATTGACGCGGTCTCGTGACTTGCGCGGTTGTGGCATAACTTACGTCGGCGATTCAGCAAAGTGGATCATAGTAGCTTGTGTCTGACGAATGAACAATTAAATAGTTGGGTATCAACGTAGATAGTAACTGCACAAAGTTAGATACGGAGACCGGCAATCATGCGTGCTTCCTGTTCGCCTAGCTGCCATGTGATGCCAGACTCGTTATAAAACTCGCCAATATCTTCTTCCTGAAACCCGGATGACAACGTATTAGCAGTCGTCAACATGTCATGAATGCTTCCTTACCGAGTCCAGGTTGAGCAAGATGGATATCTGCTGCAGCCGAACGAACTTCTCCCGTACGTCTCCGAACGCAGTCTGAGACGAGAGGTACGACGTGATCGAACGCAGGTCTTGATCGAAACGTACTGCACCAAGCTGTGAACATGTCAGCCACAGGATATTCTGATAGAGTGCAGAGGGGCAGACCTCGCTGTACTTGAGCGTCACGACGAATCGCTCCCACGGCCTCACCAAGACATCCAGAGCCAGCCCAATGAACAAACGGTAGTTAGTTTCCGTGAACAGTTCCTACGCGAGAGATGCCGGCATCGTTAAGGCTGATCGCAGGAGTAATCGCGGCAGCGTACCTTGTAGCCATCCACCAGATTTTCCCATGACTTGGCGAACCTCTTCCGTACGACATCGTTGTATTCAGCGGCAGAATAACCGCCCTCGTCCAATACGTATGATACGTCCTTGTACACGTCCGGAATGAATGTTCTCAGCCTTGGGCGCATAAGCTGGTTAAATAGTTGCTCAACGCCAGCCTATATCCATTTATATGCATGCACGTCAGCATCATCCGGTTAACATATAAGACAGAGGATGAGCGCAACATACCCTCAGCGCAGAACGAAATCTGGGCACGAGATGGAGGAACGATGAAAGGCTCCTCTTGACCGACTCTGCTTCAGTCTCCAGGTAATACTGCGTGACCAGCGCCGACGTGTTGAGCTCTTTCACCAGGCGTTCCATGTGCGAGGATGATATGTCGAGGTCATTCAGCAAGATCTACCAACAGATATCTCAACCATGCCGCATTAATAAAGCGCTGGTGGGAGCTCAACTCACGATGAAGGCCTGTCGGTTCTCCCTCTCCGCTTTTTCGCCTTTCGAACCTGCCCCCGCGGCTCCGCCGGTGCGGTACACATCATCTAGCTTCTTCTTGATAACAGCGACGTAGGCATGGTCCATCACATCCTTCAGGTTCTCGGACGTTTGCTGAACTGCTCTCACGGAGCCGCAAGACAGCATGCGCGACAGCACTACCTTTAGGATGTAGAACGCATCGTCAGGCGTCGTAGTAACGACAGGCGACTGCAAAAGATCCGCATGTGACAGCCGGTGTGCCTGAAAGCGACGGAGTAAGCAACATACATAAATGCTCATCCGAAGTGTAATGTGACTCACCTTGTCGATAGCGGTATTTGTGTACCACGTCTCGAGGGGAATGTAGTACGTCTTGAGAAGATCTTCGATCAGTTGCTTAGTAGCACACGCCTCAACCGCTCGTAGCCCCTCCGGTAGATTTTCAGTAGAACCATTGGTTGATGGTGCGCTTTGCTTCTGCAGTCCTCGTCCATCTTCTACCCGATCTAAAGGAGCTTTCTCATCGTGGTTCTCCTCATCGAACGCGTCCGGCTGAAATATACATCAGCTACTAGTTTATCAAAATCAACGATCGACACACTCTCAAACGCTCGTGCGCAAACTTGCGGAACAGGCTCCACCGACCGCTCATGCCCACGGCCTCGCTTAGCACGCGATCCACATCGCGGGCGTCTGCGCCTTCCTCGCCGTCATACCCTTGCTGCAATGTTTGCCTTCTAGGAACTGCAGATGCTGGACTGGCCGCATAGCTTTTGGACGTGTCGATAAGCTATACAATTGCGGTTAATTTCACGTTCAAGATATCATAACCTGCTGTACCAATCACTGACCTTGCGTCGCATGGACCGCTCCTCTTCCCAGCCCTCAACGAGGCCCTTCACGACGCGGTCACTTTCATGGAGAAGCCTCTCGATAACGGGTGCCATCTTGCCCGGACCATAGTACTTTTCGACAATAGGCTGATGCTGATCTATTATCATGGCTATGTTTTCGAATAGCGCCGTGAGTGAAGTAATATAGTACAACGGCGAGGAAGCTGGAAATGAGATTCATTAGAGGGGGCCGAGATGAAGGAGAGATAGATACTACTCTTCGCAGACGCTGGTGCACGAACTTTGATGAGTTCCACGACGAATGCCGCATATGCTTGTAACCCTTCTGCCTCCCATCCGATTGCCGGGAAGAGTTTGAAAAATCGACTCGTAGACGCAGCATCGCGAGATCTGGATGCTTTCTCGAACTCCTTGCGGAATACGGCCAGGAGTTGCTCACGGGCCGCTTGGAGAGTCTGCGCTGGAGGCAGATGGCTTTCTGAAGTAGGCTGCACTTAGTCCATGAGAGGCAGGCCGCCACCTCATTTTCAGTACTCACAACCGCAATCTCCGCGAATGGCCCCAACAGGACCTCCGTCGGCAATGCCATTGCTCGTGCGCAATGTCGGGTGGCAGATTCCCAGTCTCTATCTTCCATTGAGAAATGCAATTCCTCTAGTGAGGTCTGAGGGGAGGGAACATCTATGATCTGCGAACATGGCAGAAATATAGGGCTTGCCTTGAGCTCCATGACCTGGCTCACGCGGTCAGCAGCCTCTCGGACGCGACGCATTTCCTCATCCAAGGACCGTACGCGTCCTCCAACGTTCTCAGCTGTCTGCGCGGTCACTGACACCTTCTGCACAAATGCATACGCCTCCGTACACAGTTCGTCCAAACGAGGAGCTAGCGACTGTAGACGAGACAACGAGTCGAGCACCGGTTCTCGCGCAGATAGTATTTGGGCCAATGACGACGCAATCTCATCTTCTTCAGACTGCAAAGCGGTCAAAGAGGAGAGAATTTCAGGCAATGTTGCCAATTTGTGAGAGTCGCGTATTGTTGCACTCATCGAGGAACATAGAGTATAAAGTGAAAGAATTGTGTACACTAGATCTCAGGATGGTAGACTTTCGTAAGCGTGGGAACTAAGTGTGTATACGATCAATAGCTGTGCCGCGTGAGAGCCTCAGGGCCGCAGTGCTCCCCACTCGAAACCTGCTACGGATGCATGTCTATTTCCTGATACCTTCTGACGTTTTGCTTTTCTGCTGGCCATGTCCGATGCGAAACCCGTGCCACGTACAGATCAGAACGTCGCCCTAAAAACCATCGACATCGGCAAGACAGACGCGCCGCAGACGCGCTCCGATGCGCATGCAGGCCGCAAGCAACAAGGACTACTCAAGCCCGTAGCGAGCTCCTTAGTGGATTTTACTCTCATCTTGAGCCTTCTATTCGGAGGATGCTGCACGTATGTTTTTCTTGGACTGTATCTTGTGCGACGCTGAGCGTTACACAGTAATGCCTGGTCATATGAGCACATTCTAAGGATGGATTCGCATCTTGGTACGTTCACCATTGCGATGCATGGTTACGAGCCAATCCTAAATCTCAATCACAGGCACCGCGCTCACCTTCTCGCAAATGTGTTTCATCACCCTGCATTCTCTCCCGTCTTTCATCCACTGGGATCGTCACTCTTGCTTACCGTACGCAGAGAGGAGGCACGTCCCATTGCGCCAATGGGCTGCTCAGGTCCTAGTTTTGACGTCTAGCTCACTCCTGAACAACTGGGCATTTGCATTTCATGTTCCGCTCACTGTGCAAATTGTCTTTCGTTCAGCCGGTATGTTTGCTGTTCAAGTATGACAGCCCGCTCTCATGGTCTACAATTGCAGGGCTGGCGGTAGCAATGCTTCTAGGATTTCTCATCTTCAAAAGACGCTATCCGGCAACTCAAATTGTGAGTCGTTTCAACCAACTTGAAGTTAATCATCCTACAATGTTATGGTCTGTCCATTAAGGCTGCAGTGGCGGTTGTCTCAATAGGTGTCCTCCTCGCTACCCTATCCCGACCGACCTCATCCAAGTCGTCCGATTACGAAGAAGCCGCTCTATCCGCTAGATATGCGCTCGGCATCATGATGATGACCGTGTCGCTCCTCCTTACTGGCATTCTTGGAATGCTGCAAGAACACACGTACAGCACATACGGCCCTTATTGGAAGGAGGGCGTGTTCTACACGGTGATTTATCAGTTCCATCTGCTTCTGCTAGCAGAACTCATGACATATCAAGCATCTATTGTCGCTACCACTCTTCTTGTTTCTGGTTCCAGATGTCAAGTACGGCTTCAAGAGCCTTTCCTCTCACACACAATCCTGGACGTCCCCTACCGCAGGACCATGGATATCTGCTATCATGTCACGCTACAGTCCATACATCGTTCTTGCAACAAACCTCATTACACAGCTGATCTGTGTCTCAGCTGTCAACCAACTAACATCGGTATGTCCCTTCTTCTGATACCACAGAATCCACCTCTCAAGTCTCAACCACAGCGTGTCACGTCTGTCTCGACTAATCTGGTATTGACAGCGCGCAAAGCGCTCAGCTTGTGTTTCAGCGTCTGGTGGTTCGGAAGCGGGTGGAACGCGCAGCTCAGTGTAGGCGCCGGATTGGTCTTCATCGGCTCATTGCTCTACACGTTGGTCAACTCTGGCTCCAACATACGGACAAGCACTGAATCGATAGCAGATGGTACTTCCAAACGGAGGAAGAGGGCGAAAAGGAAGACAGCATAGAGCTTAAGGAGCCCGCATTGCAGACGCCGTCGACGGCATCGTATGCCGAGCCCCTCGCAGGCCTTGGACATATAGATACCACACACGAGAGCGTGCATACCGTGCGGATGCCTTAGCAGCATCTGCGCTTGACATCTACAAAATGGAAGCCAATTAAGAGTAGAGAGTGCGCTATGCGATATGTGTAACATAAATGTGAGAACAGATACGAGAGACATGCGACCATCCCAAAACCGAAGGGGAACAATGGAAAGATAAGTCCCTACCAACCAATACAATGGGTAACCGGGCGGCGAACGGGACGGATAGAAGCGATAAAGGGAAGATTTAGGTTAGGTATCCAGGTCGTCGGCTACCGCTGTGACACTAGAAGTGAGCGAATAAGCTGTGAGCGAGCATGGAGTTAAGGTGGGGGAATAAGGGGTAACACAGGTGACGGTTTCGACATGAGAAGCGTGAAGGTGCATCAGTTCATGGCATGAGGTGCGTGGACAATCCGTGCGTACGGTGACTACTAGAAGGTGCAGGAATATATTCGCGTGAAGATCGTGCGCGACCGTCCAATGGCGGCAGCTTAGGTTGCGAATACGCCGCTGGCGACACCGGAGGAGAGATGGCGTTAGCAAATTGACAGCCCAGTGAAAATGAGGCAAGCCCGAAGCGAGGCGCTACCGGATGGGCATGTACACACGTCAGACGTCCTTCTCGTAGACGATGTTGCTCATCTGATGACCCGTATGAACTGGCGTCATGGGCGTTGACGGTGAGATGGGCGTGTCCAGCATGTCCTCCTCAAACGACCGATTGACCTTCTTGAGTGCATACTCCTCATGCAGTCCGTCGGGTTCAATGGTCATAGGAGTGACAGGACGTGAGTTGCTCGGTCCTGACGACGTCGCAGTGACGGTGGAGACGATTTGATTCTGAGGGTAATACGATCGCCGTTGCATCTTCCGGTAGTCATATGACGTGAACCTGTAAAGCGGCGCTCAGTCTGAGCAACTTGATGTACGCGGACACGAGACACCCACTGTTCCTCCATCTGTCGCATCTCCACGCTCAGATTGTTGATATCTTGCACCTTCCGTTGCCGTGCCTTGAGCGGGTTGTCCTCAAGCAGCAGCTCCTCAAGCTCATGTGATGCGTCGAAGTTCGCCTTCTTCGACTGATGCCATGGGCCGTCAGCGCCGCAAATCCGGATGAAACAAGTTACACGTTGCGCACGTACATCAGGCACGAATGGCGGTATCTGCTTCTTCTCCTCCAGAGTCTCCCAGTCAATACAACTGAACCATGGATGATTTCGCAATGGCTCCATGCCTTCGTTTGTCTTCCAGCCCATCCGCTTCGCCGGATCTCGATCTAGGAACTGAAACAGTGTCAGAATGATACACATGTGACCATCATAACGTTGATCGCCAAAAATACCCATTACATAAATGGTGGGGGCGTTTCCGAGATAGCCACAAATAGACACGCACCATACGCAGGGCCTGCATGCCTGCTCTGCTACACTTGCTCTCCGCATCGTCGGGGAACCGAAGTGAATCCTTAGTGATGCTGTGTGTGAGATCGCCATTTGTCTTGCCTCGGAATGGTCTCCGCCCGAAGATGAGCTCGTATACGCAGATGCCGAGCGACCACCAGTCAATGGTATATGTGTACCCGCGCTTGGCTAGAATCTCTGGCGCCATATACGCCATGGAACCTGCCACGCCAGATAGAGGCTTGCGGTCACTGTAATGCACCGCGATGTTGAAATCTGTCAAGTGGGCGTGTCCCTGTTCGTCCAGGAGAATGTTATCCGGCTTGAGGTCTCTGTGAGGGAGTCAGGAGGCTGCCCGCGACAACATAAGGCATGGACAAACCGGTGGATAATCCGATGGTCATGGAGATACGCTAAAGCGGACGAAAGTTCGGCGACGTAGAACCGCACGGCGTCCTCTGACAGCGAGCCTAATCTCTCCAGGTGGACTGCAAGCGTCTGCTCAGCGAATGCGAACCTTCGAAGAATGAGCACGTACATCTCAAGTCCCCACCAAGCATGAGATCGAGTACAAAGAAACAGTTCTCATCATCTTGAAAGGCATATCGTAGATTGACCACAAAAGGATGGTCGACCTGGTAGTATCACATATTTACGAATGCAAGCGTGGTGTCCAGAGAGTCCGCACCTCTTCGAGCAATCTGCGCTCTTGAACGATGTTTGCGACTGCCTTCATCTTGACACACTTGGATTTGTTGATGTACTTGAGGGCATACAAGTTCCGGGTCTGCTTGTGCTGCACCACACGGACCTGGCAAGAAGTGAGCGAAATCCGCATGACAACGGAGGCTAGTGGGACATACCTTGCCAAATGCGCCCTTTCCCACACATCGCAGAAGCACGAAGTGAAACAGATTGACCTCCCCGTCAAAATCTATTGGCTTTACAGCAGAGAGTTATTCGGACTGTTCGGACCAGCGCCGAACGAAGACGGACCTGTGCGCGACAGCAAAGAGCACCCATAACGGCCGTCGCAGGTCGTAAAACAAGACAGGGAGGCGGGGCGTGGACGGACGGGGTCTAAAGGAGGGTAATTGTGGGGAAGCAAGGAAAGTGATGGGATAAGTAAGGAGGGATTGTCTGGAGTGCCTGAAGACTATTGGTCCGGTGTCGACCCACATGGCACCTGCTTTGACGCTCGACACGGTCACGTGCTTGTTCGACTCTTGAACTCGCCCTGTGCGGCCACTGCGGCGAGTGTTTGTGTCGCTACACCTAAGTCCGTCCCCTCCTTATGGCTCCGAAAAAGATTCCCAGTGTTATACAGGCACGTAGTCACACGCGAACGGGTATCTCGTCTGCTAATGTTGTCTCCACCAGTGCGACTCACTCGCTGCGTATGAGTATGAACTGGAATCTCTGCGCGACACGCTCTCATTACCCGAATCCGAAGACACTTGGGACAGGATCTCAGCCTCCATTCTTCATTTAACAGCCCTTATGAAGGGAAACGCCGCACGATTTCCTAACGAGACCACCACCGTGCTCCGATCCTTGTCAAGACCCCTCAACAGTGCGGCAAACTCTGAAAGGTCGCGCCTGTCCGGTGTGGCTCTTGAGTTCATGAACGTCGTGGTCACCACCATGGAGCGTTATTTCGACGCGCTGATACCAATCTTCTTTCCTACACTGCTCGGCCTCTGTTCACGGTCGAACAAGGTGTTCTCTTCTCGTGCACGAAGCTGCGTCCTGGCTGTCGTGCAACATTCTCGTTCTCCATCCGTCCTACCCTTTCTGGCCGAGTCTGCCAAGGATAAGTCGGTAACACTCCGTCAAGCGGCCGTGGAAGCCGCTTTGGCCTGCCTTAGCACATTCACTCGAGCAGAATTGGAGAAGGAGCCGAGAGCTCGCGAAATCGAGGCACTGATCAGGTCAACTGCCACCGATGCCAATGCTGATGTGCGCAAAACTGGGAGGAAGGTCTTCGAAGCTTACAAGGTTGCCTTGCCAACGCGGGTAGATCGGTATGATTGCCGAATTAGGTTGTTCGCCTGTATGCTGATGACGATTCAGTTTCACTCAACCCCTCACACCGACGATCAGGAAGTATCTTGATATCAAGCAAACAGCGGCATCGGGAACACGGGCACAGCCTCCCAGTCGCCCACCGTCAGCTCAATCACTGAATGCCATTCAGACAAAGGCGTCGGCGCCTACTCTCCCATTCTCTTCGTCCACATCTGCTCTCCCGCCCAAGACATCGTCTTCTCACAGCACCCAACAGGCCGGGGTGCGTGCGCGGGTACTGTCCTCATCGAACCTCAACAACGATGCAGCCTCAAGTGCGCTCTCCAGACATGTTGCGCAGAGGGCTGCAGCGAATGCTGCCGCAGCTCAAGATTCTGCACCCAAGCGTCCTACAGTGGATACACTGCATCGCTCTGTTGCAAGTGCAAGGCGGGAGATGCCACCACCAGACACAATCCCGATCCGTCCTAGTAAGTCAACGTACCTTGTGGATCTTCCATCACATTTATGCCATGTACAGAGTCTGTCATGGAGTCCACTCGTCCACAACGTCACATCTCCGGGCCATCCAGGCCCGGAAATGTTAGTGGCCCTAGTCGACCGTTGTCACAGCATGATATTGGGACAGTGCACCTGAGGACAGGCCCCATGAGACAAACATCCACAAATGCGACTTCTTCCAATCCGCCCGCGCGTCAAGAGCTTACCGAGAGAAGGGTAGTGGGGGGCGCTAGACGCGTACTTCTCGTACCAACGCCTCCAGAGATTTCAACAAATACCACTTCAGACCCTGATCGAGAGCGGGGCCCTACCGTATCCAGCACCCCTGTGCCAAACGCCGCAACTTCTAAGTCAGAGGCTCATGTCACCCAGCCACTGGATGCTGTAGGGAGTTCCACGTCTGAGAAGCTACCGAGCAAGGTGACGGTCAGACACAAGCCCAGCGTGCCTAAAGCAAACGAGAAGGCGAAACAAGTCCCGCCGAAAACAGCTGTTTCCCACCGTCCAGATACTGCACGTAGTCAGACAAACAAAGTGAAGAGCTCCAGCCGGGGCGAGGACCCCAAGCCACGACCTCCAAGTCGATCACATCAGGCAGCTCCTAGAAAGGCTGCCTCGAAAACGAATACCCGAATTGCCATCCCTCCTGTGACTGAGGCTGCTCATGAAGAAGTGGTAGTCGCCGCAGAGATACCTCTTCCTCCGAGTCCAACTTCAGCAGAGATACTTATACCTGTTCATGAACCAACTTCGATACCACTACCTTCCAGCCCCACAGTCCTTGAAGACACTCTTCCTTCTCCTCCGGAGACCCCCAAAGCCCACGCAAAGACATTTCCTCCTCCAGAGATCTCGGATGCCCGTGAAGAGGCTCCCCCTCCGCCATCCGAGGTTCCCGAGACCCGCGAAGAGAGCCCTCCACCTCAATCCGAGAGCTTGAAGACTCATCAGGGGGAAGCGACTCCATGCTCTCCTTCACCTCAGCCGTCTACAGAGGCACAGGCGGAAGTTCCTGTTGAGCCCGCAACACCTGAGCGTACCCCCACTCAAGCCCAGCGCCTCCTCTTACCTGCCCAAACGCCCATATCCTCTCTCGTCGCCGACATCGAGCGCGGGTTCCTCTTTACGCCGTTTTCCCCCGTTCCTCCGCCGGAACCACGCGGCGTACCCGCTCTGCCTCACTGGGCCCCGCTCAGGTCGCTCAACAGTGCGATTTTGAACGCGCAGAGACCACGGACTGATCGTTCAAGATCGGTGATGGGGGAGAGATTGAAACCTTCACAGGAGCTTCGTACAGTGGACCCGGATGATTCGTTGGGGAATATGTTCCCAGCTGTCCAATAAGCGGTCAGAGTGCTATCTAAGCAATGGAATACTCTATTGCAGTCAGTATGATTATCGACTATTTTCCCGTAAAGTATACGCTGAATCGCTTGTCTAATATCACTGCTTGTGTCTGACGCTTTCATTTGCACTTTTGTAAGACTGCTGTAAACATTTGATGAAATGGAGAGCAGCTCAATGCGCTGCACAATGAATGAATTTGATCCCTGTAGCACTGATTGCTCCAACATCCTTGTCTTTTTGTTGTAAGTACTGCACAAGTACGATCAGAGATCAATCTATGCTACCACTGGACAGGCGCTCACGCTGACTTCGTGAAGACTGAACCATTACTTGGCTACTAGCCAGACTTGCCACATTTCGCGCCGTACCCCAGTATAATCCTCTGCCATGTCTCCTCTAAACAGCATCCTCCGCCCTCTCGTCATATCTGGGCCATCTGGAGTGGGCAAGAGTACCCTCCTCCAACGCCTGTTTGCCGAATTCCCAGACAAATTCGGGTACAGCGTATCCCGTAAGTTTGCTATCATCTTATCGCATTTCCTTGACGCAGACTTTCTCTGCTGCATCCATAGACACCACGCGTGCGCCGCGGCCAGGAGAGACAGACGGCAAGCAATATCACTTCGTGACACGCGACAAGTTCAAGCAGCTGCTCGACGAAAGCGCGTTCATCGAGCATGCCGAGTTTTCTGGCAACTACTACGGGACGAGCTTCATGACGGTGCGGGAGGTTTCCCAGTCTGGACGGCGGTGCATATTGGACATCGAGGCGCAGGTGCGTGCGCTCCGCCACGACCATCCCGTCTGACCGGGGGTCAAAACGCGTCCGCCGCACTGCAGGGCGTCCGCCAAGTCAAGAACACGGATCTCAACCCCGTCTATCTATTCATTTCGCCCCCGTCCTTAACTGCACTGCGCAGCCGTCTGCGACAGCGGGGCACGGAGTCAGAGGCAGCCGTTGCAAAGCGTCTCGCTACCGCTCTCAAGGAGATCGAGTACGCGAAAGAAGGCGCTCATGACGTTGTCATCGTAAATGACGACCTCGACCGTGCATATGGCTTGTTGAAACGCGTTGCATTGGGGGAGGAGATCACCAGCGATCCACTACCTCCCTTGGACGACTGAAACAGCGAGATGGGCGGGACAGTAGGCATTCCAGGCGCGTTACATACGTATACCAAAAAATACATTCAATGGATTAAGTCTGCGGGTACAGATAGTATTGTCGTCTCATTGGTCTAGAGCAGCGGAATAACTTACTAGTGCAATGTGTATAGTCTTCTCAATGGCAGATACTAGAACCAAAGACAAGAAGGAGAGACTAGACCCGGAACCGCAGGTAGGCCATCAACAACGCGGAACAACCAGTGACTGGAAGAAAAGGTGAGCAGTACACGGCATTCAGAGTCGATGAAGGCCGTACCGAAACCGACAAGGTATTGCAACGTTGTTGCCTTACGAGCACGTCTCGATCAGACCATAAACAGAGCTGATGCATACAAGCCTACCTTGGACGCCTGTATTGATGTACGAAGCGAAGCAATCTCCTGCTCTATGCGCGTGTCGACCTCCTTGATCTTTAGCTCTTGCTTACTGCTCTCTTCGCGCATTCGTCCCTTCTCGAGGTTCAGGTCGAGGCGCACACCTGCCTGCGTCCGCGTAATTTCCTCGCGTAGTCGCTGCTTCAGCTTCTCGATGTCTGTCATTAAGCGGTCGTTCTCGGCCTTGACCATCGCAATCTCATTCTTCTCCATAAGCTGAAGTTCGGACTTGAGCTGGGCGAAGTCGACCTGCTGTGTGTAATGGTGCTGGAACGACAAAAGGGTCAATGCACGCGCTCTACAGGAGCGAAATCGCAAGACGATCAGCCACAACACGCACCTTCTCTTGATCGGCTATCGTCACCATGTTACTCGTCATGTTCCGAATACTCTCATCGATGACTTCAGCCATAGCAGTCATGATGCCTTCCGCTTGAGCACGATTCAAACCTTCGCGTTCTAGCCGCTGCACAAACTGGTGGGTATCAAAGTGGAAATCTAGTCTTCGTTGTGTGACATGGAAGCAGCGACGTTGGTTTGGGAGGCGAGATGATGAAGGGAGTGACTGAGGCGCTATGCGCTGAGCAAGTGAAGACGAGGGGTGCAATGAAGGGACTGAGAGCTGCTTCGCGACCGAGAGGATCATGGTAATGATGGTAAGGCAGAGAGAGAGAAAGTGAAGACTTCGAACAGGGACTGAAACAGGTTGAGAGTTAAGTAGGGGATCTGATGCATTCGGAGGACGCGGGCAACGCGCTGCGCTGACTCGCACGTGGCAACCAGTAGGCATTCCCCAGCCAATCAGATTGCTTATAACTGATTCCAACGTCCTGTTCAACTGGTCATACAAACCAGATTTCAATTGATCCACTATCCTTATAGCAGAGCGACGATGTGATCTGGTCCGTCATTCACTAGGATTTCTGCCTATACGAAATCAAGTCAGTCGTGCCACGAATCACGATCGAACCGGCCGCCGTCTTCGCATCATGAGCTAGAGAGAACCTCAGCACAGCATTTCTGCTGCGAGGAGCAGACTCTGCAACGGGCGGCGCTGTCTGGTCGCCAACTTGAACGGGAGAAGCGGGGTGAAGACGAGCGAACGCCCGAAAGCCTATCCACATTTAAACGCCGTAAGCCATGCAGAGTCTCGTCGCCTATGATGCTCACTTACGGATGCATCGGCAAAAAATGTCGGTCTCCGATCTGGGGCGGTAAGGCAGATGTACATAAGCAATACCCCTCGCAATACTACAATGTCAGGCAATGTCAGATAAAGTCAGACAATATGCAACGGCATGCGGTGGCCCCAGACCTACTCACGTCTGGCCAGGAACACATTATCTGCCCATGGCTGGCATTACCTGGCTGATATCCATTAGATAATTGCAGACATATTGAGTGTCTACTTTGATGTGAATCTGTGGATCCAATTGGGCCTGTTGACCTGGAAGTTTGCTCTAAATATTGATGCATATTCATGGACAACTGCTTTGAGATTGACTTCTTCAATTTCTGTAGCCACCATTGTATTCATCATCTCCAAGTCATCGCCTCCAGATTCAGATGATGTGCACGTCGCATCAGGAACGCGTCTCACGCAGATGGTGTTAGTTAGCGACGGACGCCCCGTCAAGTTCAACGCGTGACGTCACGCGTTCTTACTTGATCTCGCGACTTTACTACATCTCGTCGTTCAACACAAACGCGCACACTGCCGCGGGAAATATGCGTTGTTCGGTTAATTCTCTTGATTTTTATTGTTATTGCCTCATAAATGGCTCGACGTCCGACCCAGTGACATTCATAAACCACGCAGGTGTTCGCAACTCTGACGATGAGGTCCACCCCCTGCCAAGGCACACCTACCACTCAATGGTGCATTACTGACCTCCTTTGAAGTGTATCAAGAATTTCACAATGGGCTGCCTGCATCGGCAATGCCATGGAGCCTCGACGGCACGCGTAGGCTGGTCGAATACGCCATGGTCGTAGTACAAATCTGCTGCTGACTTCTGGGCTGGTGCATCCAGCCCCCTCAGACAACCTTTCCGTCTACCACCATCCTCGAACGCAACCTCAAGCTTCCAAAGCCACCTCAAGCTCTCGCTCAACCCCACGGCTCCCCTCCCCGAAGCAGCTTCGACCGCCTCCATCGCGTCGTCTTCCGCGATCGTCCCTGGTATCTCGAACGCGGCGCTGTTTATTCTTCTGGCGATCCTCGTCATCGTGTCTCTCGGTATCTGGTCCTGGATCCTCGTGTCCTACGTCCCTTCCTGTCTCTCTCGGCGTGCCGATCACGAAGAACAGCGCGTACGTGCAGAAGCATCGCTATGGGCTGCTCTTCTGTCGGCACTCCCCATCGCAGCATTCCCCTCTGCTGACGAGGAGAACGGGACACTTACGGCCATTGATGTAAATTTATCCTCGAAAGAAGTGCGTAGCAGTTGTTCGTCGAGGTCCGCGTGCTGATCATCCTCGTAGGTCCCGTCGATGTCCGATGTTGAGGAGCGCCAGCAAGTCCTCGCTCTGTCGTCTTCGACATCGCCTATCGCGGGCGTCTGGTCTGAAACTACAGCAGTTTCCTCTCCCCCTGAGGAGTCTGGAAACTCTGCAGAGAATGAAATCACCCTGGCTCCGAATGAAGTTCGTAATTATTTCTCACTGAAATGTGACATTAAACAACCTCTCTTCAGGCTCGATTGTGTATCAGTACAGAAGCTCATGCGCAGGATAAGTCTTCCTCGCTTCCGGCTCTGTCTTTAACCGTTCCTCCACCGCCTCACAACCTCCATCCATCCTTGCCTGCATCTACACCCATCGCGCCATCTCCGACTTCCCCGCTCTCTGTAGTCATCCCCCAAGATATGCCTCACCCACTCGCTCTAGCAGATGCGGCTGGCTCCACATCAATGTCGTCTTCTCGACCATCATATTATCGCGACAACCTCCCAAATGAACGGGACGACCATCCGCACAACACTCACCACTACGGCGAACTAAGACCCGCAGGCTCATATACCAACCCGACAATGAACTCGCAAACTGATAGCGCGCCCACCATGCTTGAATGGACCTCCGGTAACGTGGATCTCGAGGACGTGACGGTCCCATCCAGCCCCTCTCTCCATCACACCACGTCCATGGACGAGACATTGTCTTCGTTCACCGAGGATCTCCCAGCCAAGTGCAGCAAGACGTCCACTTGCCACGACGATGCCGACTGCGGCGTGATCATCCCATCCCCTTCATCGCTCTCGGAGTCTATCTCGTGGGACCCAGAGCTTTCTCGCTCGATCCAATGCCTCGGGCTTTGGATTGAGCAACAACAAGCTGCTAAGCAGAGCGGGGAGTCTACCCCAGAAGATGTGAAGACGATTGGCCTTAGCATCAGGTCAGCTTATGACGATGGCGCGAAACGCCACCAGGATGCTGCCGACGGAGAAGATGGACAGCTCCAGCAATACTCTAAACCTCTGCTCGAGGGAAGCTATTACTCTCTGCCAGCCATCAAGCCATACGTGGCTTACAACGACACCCTTTATTCGCTTTCCACGGATTCGATCGACGAGGACGAGGAGGCTATCCCGCGCGGCAATGCAATCTCCACTCTCATCAACCATCTGTACGCCGGCGAGCCTACGTGGAGTTCGGCCGCGAAGACCTTCGGTCCTGTCATCGTCGTTGACGAATGCGAGTCTGCCGCTGATTGGAGCGTGTCTGATGACTCGATTTGCTTTTCTCCTATGACCCCCGAAGGATTGGAGTACCTCTCCGAGCTGGTGCTAATAAGTCAGATGGAACGGCAACCTTTCTGACTCGCCATTAATCTCTATGCTATGATTCGCCATTCCATCTGCATATTATCTCCGTCCTGTACAGCGTGCCATATTCTTGCAGTCTCGTTATTGTGCTCTCCTTCGATTATCGTCATCGCCAAATTCACGTCTCGACCGTCTACTGTCCTCTCCTGCTACCCTCTCGACCTTGAATTGCCTTATGAATCCGACAGTTCCCTAGGCTCTTGAGTAGAAGACGGCTCCACGCGAACCTACTACTCTCCTTTTGCACAGGTGAATCTACACAACGCTACTGGCAACAACTCTCGGCCTTGGTCTCAAAATCTGCGAACGCAGCTCTCTCTGACTTCCATCACGCTCGTTCTGCAAATCGCCAGGCTTTGAATCTTGGCAGCTTTATATACCGAGGCATGTGCCTTCGCTCAGCGGACGATGTCTATGATTGATTGCGTCTGCTGCTTATGCCGATTTGCCGGTGTATTGTTCTCTCTGCCTATCTGGTGTCAGCCGAGATACTTTCTCGTTACTTGTGCCTCCCCCGAGACCTCTCGTCCTGCGATGACTGTCTCCTGACTTTTCGGCCCATCGATGCTACCACTACTGCCGCCCTTATATCCTCGTATGGCTGTTGCGTTCTTGACTCTCCACATCCTGCTGTCATGGCTATATCAGTCTTGCGTACTATGGGTGCCCTAAATGACTACCGATACCTGCGACGCTCCTGCTCTCATACTTGATCTCTTGTCTTCATCTCGTCCTCTCAGCCGTGCTTGCAATCGTATGGTCCGATCCTTTCTATTTTCGCTGTATTGTCTCATCTGTCTCTGGTCACTCGTCTGTTACAGCTGCCCACATGCTTCCCTGTCATAAATGCCGTTCTATCTCTTTCTCAGTATCTACTAGTACTGTATCGTACGCCGCATCCTTCGCTGTATTACTTAGTATCTCGTGTGTCTCTTGAATACTTTTACAGTCATCGATTCTTTTAAATCTCTCTGAACAAGCAAGCCGCCGTGGTTTCGACGCAAACGGTGGAGACTCATCGAATGGGTGAGTTGACCGATGCATTCGAATTGCTATACAGAGATTGTACGAAAATCACCCGGACACTCTATCGTTTGTGCACGCAGATTTCGCTTGTTGGACGGCCAAGCTCAAACCTGTAGGCGTATTGATGCGTGCAAAAGCTGTCTGTACAATCATGTATGCGTCCCGGCTGGCTATGGGCCGCACGGCGGACGCTAGGCGGATGCGCTTTCGAGGCGGGACGTCACGCGTTTGACCGCGGCCAACTCTCACTGCCTCCAGAGTCCAGGGCCCAGGCTGTGAGGGGTGCATGTGTCCTCCAGAGCTGCAGCTCTGACCTGAGTTGCTATGCACTCTCGCTCATAAACAGCAACAAGATGTCGGGTGCGGAGAGCCGGATTCCAGCTAGCAGTGCGATGGGTGGCGTAATATGGGCAGCAACTTATTATTTTCAAGCGCGTCGTCAGATCCGATTCGGCTATGTCTTCAGCTGCAGCGATGAGTGTGAGTGCAAGCGCCATGTCTGCGGTAAGCAGCAGCAACTTCCTCCTCACAAACCGTCGCACAGCAAATGCAGCAGTAGGATGCCGAGTTCACCGCGCTCAAAAAGAGCTCGCGCTTCACTGATGAGCTGCCGCCATTCACTTCGCTTATTTACACGAACATGCTGATGGGATACCACCTACAGATAACGAGGAGGCATGTATGAGCGGTGAGTTCGCCCAGTGCATGGGTGATGCGTACGTCCTCCAGACTTGCAGCTCCAGCCTGGACAAGTCTGGCACGTCAATGACCTGCATGACTGAATCAGACATCGCGAGGAAGACACATCTCAACCACGAATGTCACGGACGGCATCATGCATGGACAGCCGCCAAGTGCATGCCACTGTGAAAGCTTAGCACGTAGTCACGACATTCACGACATCTCAACACTCAGTGCAAGGCTTGCATTCGCATTCATAAAGGGTTGACATCTGCTATAGCACAAAGTACGTACTTTTTTCCTCTCTAATAACATGCCCGCTCTCTGTAAGCGTAGGAATAAGTCGTCACGAGCGATGAGCGACAGAAACCCCGACATAATGGGCGTACCTTTGGTCTCACTGCAATCCATGTCGTCTCTCGTCCACACGACACCTAAATCCAGGGCGGCCACAAAGCGTGCGCCTCCTCATCGCAAACCGGCGGCAATTTAATGCCGTACGTCTCACCAACCCACAGGGGCTCACAATTCACCGACTCAAACTTGCCATGCAATTGGTGCTCCGCATCTTGAAGAGCTTCCCATCCATGGCTCAGACAATCAATCAGCCCGATATACAGGTGTTTGACGCCAAGCTGCGCACGGTGCGGGAGGACCGAGTCTAGGATGATGTCAGAGTCACTATCTTCCCAGATGGCAATACGTAGTGTCGTCAGTGCGGGGCAGAAAGGCGGGCCGGTTGGCTCTCGGAAGAGTGTGAGAGCGTCGATGACCTTCGTCAGGCCCTCAATGTTGACGGACAGCGTCTCAAGCGCGGTCATTTGCCTAAGAATGTTGCGGACACGTTCAAGACCAGGCAGCCTGCGTGCATCCTGCTCAAACGTGCACAGGTGCGAGATGCAGGAAAGGGGAAGGATTCTTGACCAGTCGAGCCTGGTCCAATGCTCGAGGGCTCTGCTTCTCCTGACCTCAAAACGGAGACCAGAAGAGGCTCCAGTGACGATGGCGACGTGCTGCTGGAAATGCAGCTCCTTGGGTTGCTTCAGGGCATTCAACGACCAACTGGATACCACTTCTAAAAGTCGCTGCTCATCGTCATACCAATTCATGTTTTTGATCGAGACAGACAGGTCTCCATTTAGGCGAGCATCCTGGAAGATATAGTCGATATCATCGGTCCACATACGCTCGATCAGTAACCGGCGCAATCGAACGAGTGACACAGGCTTCATGTCCGCAGGCTCAGTCTCCGCTCCGACGTACCGGTCGACGTTGCTGTCAGCCACATATCGCAGGATGAGATCGACTAAGTTCGGTGTTCCAGCAAGCAAGCTGCGTACTTTGGCGCGGGATTTGGTTACATGGCATCTGTCGAGAGCCAACAATGTCAGTTTGGCGAACGCATTGCTGGGCAGCCAATACAAATGTGACAGTGACAGGCGTTCCAGACACGGGGTGTGACAGTCGAAGAGTTCGAATGATCCGTCTGGCACACTGTCATTGTGGCCATTTTGCAACATGAGAGACTTCAATGAGGGCACTGGCATTCCAAGATATTTGCTGTTTTCACAGTTAGAAAGGTTCGTCCAGTACAACTCTTGAATTCGGGAAGAATGCTCCACATTTTGCAGAGCACGCCCAACAGCATCTTGGCACAAGGGCTCGCTGCGAGCCAACACCTTGAGCGGGCCTTGGCCGGACCTCTCCAACAAGGCATGATCTTTATCATGCCAATATGTTTCAACGCCGTTCCAGAGCTCCCGGATTTCCGAGGCGATCTCTTTCCAATGATGGCAGACGAGCATGAGACCGACTGCTCTGCCCTTTTCAATCCAAGTTGGGTTCCAGACGGTCGTTATGTCATCGCAATGATAGTGTATAGATCTGTATTCAGCTAGCTTGATGGTGCAGGTCGTCACGAATATCTCCCTGAGCAATTCGGGAGGAAGACGGTTGATCGCAACGCGGGCATTGCGGTCGCGCCACTCAGCTTGAACCGCAGCGGTCTCGGCTGCCTTCAAGATTAGCCCTTCCAGATGCTTGAGCTATAGCCGTTACATCAGTTTGTTGAGCTAGATTGGGATCAAAGTTTACTGACCTGACGTGCGCTGTATACAATGAGGTCGCGATCAGTATGTATAACGATATGATCGGAGGTGGGTAGGGACGCACCGTTGGCGAGTGTCCCTACGCTCGAGCTTGGAAGACTGCATCTTTACCAAGTCCGACGCACTCAATTCTTCGAGCGAAGCTATATTCTTAACACGTTTCCGACGTGACATTGTCGGTGAAGTTGAGTTCGCGACAGCAATCTTCTACGAGGAGAGTCGAGGTGGCAATAGCAGGCGACGGGGAGCGGAAGTGGATGGATGGAAAATGTCTGAGCGACTGGGGATATATATATGCAGGATGGGACATGGAACGGATGTGACGTTGTGGCCACGGGTTGATATAGTGTGCGGCCAGGGCCACACGGTGGGGTTGGCTACTGTGGCAAGTGCTCGTGTCTATGATGACCTCACAGGCTATGGGACTGCAACGGCCACACTGTAGAATATGTGATGGCCGCTGGCGTGTTGAGTTTCTCGACTTGCGTGAGCTCGTCGTCCGCACTTATATAATGGGGCTGAAGACTCGCTCGGCATGCGACAGACTTTGAAGCTGCTCTGCAGCGGGAGCACTGGTAGCGAACCGGTACTACTAGGCGTGTGGGACATGGGGTGGGCAGAGCGAAAGCAGGTTGATTGCAGCTGAGGAGCTTGAGTTCGTTGCATTCAATTATTATGCAAAGGTTGTCCGAAGATCGCCCTGATGCTCGCCTGTGGAACGCGCTTTCGACGCGTGACGTCACGCGTTCAAGTTTGTTTTGCCGTGACGCACCGCGGCCAACTTGATCACGTCCACTGTGCAAATCGATTGATCAATCCTTGAGAATGTTATTCTTTTCTATGTGTCTGCCCGACGCGTATTCTTCATTAGAAGTGAGTTCATCGCTAGCTTTCCGCGTACGTTGTTCACCGCAGTCGCTGCAGAAATACTGGTTCCACTGGCAAGCCTCAGCAGTCCCTCATGCCTCAGGCCTCATTGACTGAAGTGTTCTGGTGTCCACGCATCCGATACATCTATCCTTGACTTCTTTACTCCACAATATGATAGGAGATAACGCGAAAGGGTCTGCCTTTGTTGATATCGACGTGATGCACGTTAGCTGGTCAAAAATGCCATGGTCAGAAATAGAATGTGCTGACTGCTAGGCTGGCAAGTACTACCAGCCCTCTCTCATACATTTCTTCGTCTACCGCCATCCTTGAAGTCAACCTCAAGCTCTCGAAACTCCTCAAGCTCTCCCTCAACCCCAATGGCTCCCCTCCCCGAAGCAACCATGGTCACCGTCTCGGACGCTTCGACTGCCGCCTCTAGCATCATCCCTGGTGTCTCTGAGGCGATGACGTTCGTTCTCTTGGCTCTGCTCATTCTGGTTTTTCTGGCTGTCTGGGTTTGGGTCTTTGTCTCCTATTCTTCCCTGTGTCTCTCTCGGTGTGCCGAACGTGAAGAACAACCTCGCAGCGCCACTGCAACCAGGTCGCTGTGGACTGCCCTTCTGTCGGTCATAAGTCCCTCAGCAAGCTCATACCTTGTCAAGAAGAATGAAGTCCGTAAGACTGCGGATGCGAATGCATCCTCGAAAGAAGTGTGCACTCGTTCTCCATTCATGGTCGATCGCTGATCATGCATCATCGCAGGCTCAGCTGAGCTCCGATGTCGAATCCTGTCAGCGATCCGATCTAGTGCCATCCCCTACCGCCTCTACCGCACACAATACTGCCAACAGGTCAATCTCGGTCATGAAAGAAGTAAGTAATCAGCCTTTCACTGAAGTGCGAAGTTAATCAGTACTTTTACAGGCTCAGTTATGTATCAATCCAGGAAGGAAGGAGCACGACAAGTCCTCGTCTCTGATATCGTCTTTGGTCTTCCTCCCAGACTGCCACAGCCTACCTGCTACAGGGTCCCTGTCCATGCTCGTCGCAATACCCCCGAATGCCTCACTTCCTGCTGTCTCTCCATCGCAAGCCATGCCCTCCTCCGTCCTCCCAGGCGAGGACGCAACCATGACACCATTCTCTAGTCAGTCATCGCATCTTCGCAACGACCTCTCCGTTGGACAGGACGCCGAAACTCTCAACGCCTGTATTAACCCCGACGTCGCAGAGAGCGAATCGGGGTCCAATCTGCGCCATTATCACACATCCCCTAAGACGGAACACACTAACAACGCTATGGATGCGACGGACGTAGTCGTCACGTCCACTTCCACTCTCCCTCGATCTACTACCTCAAACGAGACGTTGTCTGCATCCAACGAGAACCTCGACGCCAAGTGCCACAAGATTTCCACTTGCCACGACGACGCCGACTGCGGCGTGATAGTGCCGTCTGCCTCATCGCTCGCGGAGTCCATCTCGTGGGATCCCGAGCTTTCCCAGTCTGTCCAATGCCTTGGTCTGTGGATCGAACAGCAACGAGCTGCAAAGCAGAGCAGGAGGTCTTCCTCTGAATACGAAAAACCTACAAGTTTTGGCTTTCAAATGCCTTATGCCTATGACTCTGCGGCGAAGTGCGCGCTGGAGGCTACAGATGCTTACGACGATGAGCCCGCTCAGGAATACTCTAAGTCTCCACTCCAAGCAAGCTACGGTATTCTACCGACTACCAAGCCGAACATAGGTCACAACAACTCCTTTGATTCGCTCTCCACGGGTTCGATCAACACGAATGAAGAGTTTGTTCCGCGGGATAAGGCGATCTCGATTCTTATCAACCATCTATATACTGGCGAGCCTACGTGGAGCTCAGCGGCGAGGGCTTTCGGCCCTGTCATCGTGGTCGACGAATGCGATTCTGTCACTGATTCGAGTGTGTCTGATGACTCGACGTGCTACTCTCCTGCGACATCTGACGGGGCGGCGTACCTCTCTCCGAACTGTTGCTACTGAGCTGAACGAGGCAACAGCGCTGATTACATTCCATTCATATCCATGCTGCAATCTGCTGCTCTTATGCGTATCATCATCACAGTCTGTTGCAGCTTGCCATACTCTTGCGGTCCCGTCACCATCTTCTGATCCGATTTTCTCATCTCCGAGATTGCGCCTCTATTACCTGCTGTCCTACTCTGCTGCTCTCCCGATCTTGGGCTTCGCTTGACAATGTCTCTCATGCTCTCAAAAGCAACTCTCCGTGAATCTATGAGGCGACTCCTCTTGCATCAGTATCACAAGGCGCCAATGTCACTTTCACGAGGCGTCCAGCACGTCGACTCGACAGTTTCGCACGCCTTTCTGCATTCCAACTCTTGGCTGAGCTGTCGTCGGACGCTACCCTGTCCGCCAGACGACGACTACGATTTACGACTCCTGCCGGCATGTTACTATTCCCAGCATATCGCCACACTCCTCGTCATGTCCTCCAAACGAGGGGACGCCGAGACATGAAGCATATAAGCTTCATATACGCCTCGTTCGGTTGTTCGTGACCATTTTCGACACGACTTTTTGCCTCCAACACCTGCCTCGGTACGCGATGCTCTTGCCTGTCTTCCCAGCTTACATCTGCGCTTATATGTCGCCGACGAAACTGCTACCTCTTGTGTGCTCAATGCGCACCCCGCCCCATGTTGCAAGCACGTGCATCTCTATGTCTGTTTCCTCTCATCTTCCATCGGCGATATCTTTCTACCTGATCCTCCTGCCCTGAGGTTGTAGCTCTCGGCCTGCGTCTCATCTGCATCCACACCGCCCTGTTATGCTGCCATACTATCTGCCATTTCTCTGGATGTCCTTGATCAATCATTTTCACCGTCTTTATAGCATCGTTTCTCCTTTGGTCCATGTCCTCCGCTTTGCACTATACTACGTATCAATTGTCCAGAGATTAATGCAGAAATACTCTCTCGTTCATGCAAACCACCTGGCCTTTATAGTATTTGATGAAAAATGACTTGCATATCACGACTTTGAGATCGGCGTGATCTGCTATCTTCGTAAAAATGGCCGCATATATCTCGATGATATGTGCATACTTCCTTCAGCCACAACGAAACGCTGAGCCGTGCCCACCGCGGGCCCTAACGCCTAACGCCTATGTCTTCTTAGCGGCCTCGCCGCTTCAGCACACCCTCGCGCTTTCAGACTTCACCACCAACCTTCACGACCCTCCTCGCCCAGTCTTCTGCGCGGCACTCTTGGCCCCGTAACCGCGATAGCGAAATTCAGACTCCTTGCTCAGCGACGTTCGCGTATCCTGCAATCAAATGCCGAAATGCGGCGGAACACCTGCCAGGCCGACCAAGTTTGGTCGCGGCAGACCGGTGCGTGCCCATTTGGCAGTCCCGCTCTATCCTTCACCGGGTGCCGAGTGGGACTGTGTTCGGTTACGGCGCGTTGAAGCTGAACTTGCTTTGGGATGGGCGTACACCAGATTCAGCGCAAGATCGTAGTATGCGGAGATGGAGCGACCGGTGCGTTTTCATCTTCATGCGAGTCTATCTGGTATCGACAGGCTGGCGCTGACGTGTGTTCGTCACAATCCGCAGGCAAGACTTCGCTTCTGAATGTCTTCACTCGGGGCTGGTTCTCTGCCGTGTAGTGCGTCCGACCTCTGGCCACCCCTGACCGTCACGCGACTGAAACCTCGTCCGATACAGCGAACCGACCGTGTTCGAGAACTATGTACACGACCTCTATGTTGAAGACCAACTCGTCGAGCTCAGCCTTTGGGATACCGCCGGTATGTGTGGACGGCTGCCATGCAGGCCGTGGGGGGCTCAAGCACTGATACGCCCAGCTCGCGCTCAGGACAAGAAGAGTTTGACCGGTTACGCTCCTTGAGCTATGCCGAGACACATCTCGTCATGTTGTGCTTTTCGGTGCGTGCTGCGTGCTGGCAATATGCGTGTGCATTGGCTGACTGGATTGTAAGGTGGACAACCCGTCGTCACTTGATAACATTGAGCTGAAGGTAATCTCCAATGACCATCGACCCCGTTCGCCATCTCATCTATGCGCAGTGGATAGACGAAGTGCTTGAATACTGTCCAGGGGTGAAGGTACGCGCATACCCTCTCCTTACTAAAGCGCGTATACCGATGACCCCGCCTACATCCTGCAGCTCGTTCTCGTCGGTGAGCCACGCGCATGAGCTTCCCGAAACCGCGTGTCTGCATCCCTGACGTCACTAATTTTCCGCCTCAAGCGCTCAAGTGCGATTTGCGCGAGGATCGTATCACGCAAGAGCGGCTCGCGCGGTACGGCGCACACACCGTGCAGTACGAAGAGGGCCTCGCCGTCGCGCGCCGAATACGAGCATCGCGCTACCTCGGTGCGTCCCCCCCCTTTGCCTCACCAGTGAGGACATCGCCATCGTAGCTTCTGACCACTGCACCCGCTCCCACCAGAATGCAGCGCGAAACACAATCGTGGCGTCTCCGAGGTCTTCTACGAAGCCGCACGCGTCTCGATCAGCACCCGCGCCAAAGGGTCCGGCACCTACGGCGGTGGTGGCGGAGGATGCGTAGTTGCATGACACTTCTTGCCGGGCCCGAAATCATTGCGGCCACCATTCTATTCTGTTGCATACCCTTGTTTGATGATATCACGTAGCTTTCGTCCTTTTTCTTTACTCGTCTCCTTATTCTGGGTTTCGGTTCGCCTGTTGCTGTGATGTCTCATTTGTTTGACTTGCCGGTGCGCTAAAGTTGTCTCAAACGTATACGTAACGTACTACCATACACGTCGGACGTCTAGCCTAGTGTATCTTGTGTACTAACATACGTCGTGCATATCGACCATGTATCTTGTATTTCCTGCATCCCCCCGCTCGCTGGTGGTTATCTGGACAGCTACTTTACGGTCTCTCTTTATCATGCCTTTGCAATGGACTAATTATCGCGTCAATGCGGTATCGTTTCCCACCATGATGCCCTATTTCGCTCTTTTTTTGTCGTCGACGCAAGGAAGTATCCAACGCGTGAAATGATGAAAGAGCGTCTCATTAGCCAACATGAAGGTCTGTACTCATAACTACAACAATCGTCGAGATATAATATGTTCACAAGTCCACTCATCAGAAGTTCGCGAAGCCGGTCATCGCCTGTGATGAGAATCAGCACTGACACGACAAGATCGTACATAACGCGACACTCACAGGAGGCATGCCCATGGATGTACCATTTGGCATCACTGGCGGTGCCTGTCCTGGGAAACTGCCATGTAGTCAGTAACGATGTTACATGTAGTAAGCGCACAGGACCTCACCCGTTCCCTGCAGTCAGCATTAACCGGTTTCCAATCAGACCAGGGTTGATTATCGGCGCCTCTGCCTCCTGCTGCTCCTTCTTCGAATCTTTGACAGACAGCTCCTGTACCTTCTTCTCCAGCGCAGCCATCTGATAATCATGCATGTTGGTGACCAGATCAACTTTCATGCGATACAAGACGCACCCTCTCCACTGCTGTCCTCGTGATCTGAATCTTATATGGCATGTAGAAGTCGTTCAGGCCATGTTGCCATGAGAGCTCCTCCACGATGTCCGTCCGCAGGAGATCGAAGCATGTGTAGAGCATCGCAGCGAAGCACTCCTTATTGCCGATGTCGACGAAGTACGACAGGAGCTCCTCCGCGACGTCGATTGTGGCTGATGTCGCAGCTGTGATGATTGCGTCCTTATACAACTTATCCTGCTTGGAGAGTGCTATTGACTCTTCCCAGCGGGAGTTTTTCTGCCATCGACAGATTAGATAGTAGGTCAATAGCTTCAGCGCATCAAGTGCTAACCTTGTAGAGATGAGCTGCGAGTCGCCGGAACTCAAGCAGCTCGTGCTTTTCTAGGCGTTGTGCCAGTGCCACGTTGTTGAAGTTGTCGAAGCTGTCGATGGAATCCCGCAACGTCTTATAGTCCTCTTCCTCGATGAGGAGGTCGTTGTAGGCGTCGTTGACGGCCTCAATATTGAGCTATAATGATGATTGAGTCGGACGATATAGAATGCATGCTTAATGGAACACATACGTGCTGTACCGCGATGAGGTATGAACGGATGAGCGGGATGTGGTCGATTTGTCGGAACATCCTGACAACACGAGCATGGTCGATGCGCGGGATCAAGACCGTCAGCAAGTCTGTCAGAAGCGTTGGTTGCTCTTGCAGGTAGAATGTGAGAGCCTTGTAGTAGCTATGACGCAGTCAGCATATGCTACGTTACAAGAGTCACGGTACACGTACATTTCAATGTTGGCGACTCGGACGATTACATCTTTGAATTGATTGTGTTCCCATGCGTCCGCAGACCGCTCTATCATCGCCAATGCCGCGTTATCCTATTCGGACAGCATGAATAAATATGTCAACTGCCTAGGCATCTGGCTCACAAATTCATCGTACTTGATGTACAAGAAAACAAGTTCTGGCCACAGGTGTGCCTTCTCGGTGGCTTTGATGACCTACAACATTGCATGCTGAGTGCGCATAGATTGACGATACGAGGGAAGCGTATTACTTTCGGAATGTTGATACGAGAGACGAAGAGCTTCAGATGCTCCATGACTGTACATTCAATGTCAGAGACCGCAATAATCATGTAAAAGCCGAGAGGGGTATTCACGTTTCTCTGGCTTGTACTTGCTGTACAAAACGGATAACTCCGTGAAGATACCCATCTAGAGGACACGGGTGCCTGTGAGAGAACAATCCGTAGGATTTTGTAACAGCTTACATGCGCCCTTTCTAGGCTGAGTGCAGCCTCCAGAAGCACGAGGATTTCTTCGAAGTGACCACGACGTTCATACGCTCGCACAAGGGCTGAGAGCTCTTCCTGTGTGGGAGTAAAGCCCTGAGCCAAAAACACGTCCTGGTATGATATCACAACTTACTGCATGAACAACAATGTTGAGACCACAAATTTGGGCCAAACGGAACTCTCCTTTCTCCAAACAAGCAGCATGCACCTGCTTCCAGACCCTGTATATCGCTCAGAGGTGATGACAATCCGATGATACGCATATACGCACTGAGTATTACCAGCCTTCCGTGCGCTTTCAACGGCGGCTTGATTCTCGCCAAGATAGATGAGAGTTGTTGCCAGCCGCGCCCAATTAGAGATGCTGGTAAACAGCAGCTTTGCAGCTTGGTACAATTCGTCCTCGAAGCACTTCTCTCCAACCTCGAGGATGTCCGCAACATTGGTCATTGCCAGGAAATCCTCCATATCGTGCAGGCGGTCTGTCTTGGCATATGCATACGCCAGCTCCGTATCGATCTTTGGCTCACGGAGCGTTTTGCGTGCCATTTGCAGGTATCGAACAAGGTCGTCGTGCTTTCCTGCATGGCTAGCAATTTCGATGACATCTGCATAATTCGAAGGATCCTCCGCCTTGATGTAAGAGTCTGCAATCGACCAATGTCAGGGAGCTGCATTTAGCTCGATTCCGAGATCGCTCACCGATGGCATCCTTGATGCGCAATCCGTCCAGTTGGGCCTTCGCTAGCCTACTCCAAACCTCGGGCTTGTTGACCTTAGTGGCATACTCAACACCACGATCGAGAGAGACGATGTGCTCGACCAGAACGTTAATTGCCATGGCATGTTGCTCATACTTTTTGTAGACGAGGAATGCCTCTTCGTAGAGACCGTGGTCCGTCGCAATCTTAGCAATTTCAGCAACGTCATAGTTCTTGAGCTTGTCGATGTAGCCGACGACTTTGCCCTTGTCTGCGCGGATAGCAGTCAACATGAGCAGGTTTTGTAGGTTCCGATTGTCGCTGAAGGGCGACGGCTCGAGGATCAGCTTCTCCAAAAGTTCGATAAGCTCGATCGGCAGATCTGCTTGCAAGAATGCCTTGACAGTAACCGACACATCGTCTGGGTCCGTCGACTCCGGCAGCGCAGTGGCGATAACCTGCGTGGTGCCGCACGTCAGGAAACAACTGAGTAATGGAGCGAAACCGGTGACTTTACCTGGTCAATGAGCTGCCGACGGTGAATGTTGTCCGGTACGAGTACTTGTGCCCATAGCTCGGGTTGGCGACGCTTGACGAGGTATCGTGCTTGCTGCTTGAACATCGAATTCTCGTTGGTGATGGCAATGAGCTCGTCATCGCACAAGCCCTTGGCATATGCAATGTACGCCAAGTATGGATCCCGAGCCTCGCAGAACTTTCCTACGACCAGTGGTTCGTATAGCTGGAGCGGATGTTCAGTACAGGGCCAATTGACACGCAAAAGACATACTTACATTATTCTCCTTCAAGAATGTCTCGGGGTTGTTATTTGAGTCGATGTAGATCTTTGCGAGAGCATTGTACACGGCAGAATCCTGGCTACCCTGTTGCACCCGGGCCTCCAACCAAGGGAGGATCAGCTTCAGTCTGTTCCTGACCTCAACCTCATGAACGAGCTCATCGATAGGGAAGTTGCCCGGGACGGAGGCCAAGAGAGACTTGATCGTCGACTCGTCACAATCGACGTCCAGGAGGCCACCAATGACTTGCGGTGTCCGGACCGAGTTTACCCGCTGTACGTATACCTCGATAAAGTTGATCAGCCCGTTCTGGTAGAGGTATAATACAAGGTCATGAACGAAGTCGAATCGGTCGCAGACAATGATGAGAGGGAGCTGGTCGGCGAGCTTAGCCTCCTTGAGGAAGTTTTTGACTTTCTCGGGGCTATAATAGTTGCTCTCCCGGCAAATGCGCTCTACTTCACGAATCTGGCCCGTACGCGTTGCGGCCTGGATGTACTTGAAGTGGACCTCCGGGTCGGTGCTGAGGTTAACGATTGAGCCCAAATAGTAGTAAAGGCCTTGACGGCGATTTAGAACGCAACAAAAACGTATTACGCTGCCAACTCACCCTCAAAGCTCTTGAACGACTCGAACATCTCGATAAGCTTGACTGGACCGAGGATGTCAGAGTACTTCGTGGCAATCTGAATGACAACCTGGAGATTCTGCCTCATGTTCACGCGCAGCATTTCTTCCATGCAAGCCATAGACTGCTCCGTGGTGAGTCGACTGAAGTAATTCACCAGCCACTAAAGCACAAAGTCAACCAGATGCTCAAACTGTTGTGCACCAGAAGTAACGTACATCCGTCGGGAATGCGCTAGCATGCACTATGACACGTTTGATATCGGCCAAATCCTCGTAGTGTTCGAGAGCCTGTATGGGCCTGGTAAGCGGACGATAGCGAGAAAAGCGAGCATGATACAAACCCTCTGGAGCAGACCAGCTTTCTCGCACAGGTTGGCAATCCGTGGGCGGTCGTAGTGAGTGAACATCTCGTTTCCGAGGATGGCATCGGCGACTTGAGGCGCATGCACGAGGTTCATCTCCAACAGACGTGTCTGCAGATGACCTTGCTCCGGTTTGTTGTCTTTCAAAGCATCTAGCAGGAACGAGGTCGCAGGCTGGATCATGTTCTGAGACATGAAGATGTCTACCACCTGTAACAGCTCAGTCAACCTGAGCCTGAATGAATTCCGCGTTGAGGACGTACTCTCTCAACGTCAACCAGAGGACCATTCTCGTCATTCGCCAGCTGCATGGCGAACTCGGCACCCTTCTCCGGGTTAGTGCGCATGACATGTTGCAGTAGCCCAATGTAGTCTGGGGTATACCCGACCTTCTTAGCATACAACACAATCTTGTCCGTCTGACCGGTCTCTGCGAAACAGGCAACGACCTTGTTGGGCACGTTCGCACGCAGATATACGCTGAGTGCAAGAGTCATGTCGTACAAGCGAACGATGTCACCGAGTTCCTCGCTGCATGTGAGCTATAAGAGACGTCGTTAGCTCACTGTACGAGGACGTGATAGTAGGCATACTTTGTTCTCCTTGAGCCACTTCTCCAACAGCTGCTTCCTTCCCTGCTGGAGGACAGGGCGAGCAAGTTCGACGGATTCGAGGTGGTTCAGCTCGCCCTTCTCAAGCAGGATACCAAAATACTGAAGGATCGGCGAGAGGCCACCCGGCGGTGCCGGAGCCTGCTTGAAAGACTCGATGACTTGCGCAGTACGAAGAATACCCTAGAGCAAGCAGTTACATGGGAACAAAATCTCACGTCTCAAGAGGTTGCGTACCCTTGGTGAGTTCGCAGCGACCTTCGCAGCCTCACCAAATTGGCCGCTCTGGAACAGTTGCTGATATTGCTTGATGTACAGGTCATCTGCACCGGGCAAATTAGCTCTGCTGGCGAGCTTGAAAGCGAGTTCGGTATTGTTGAGGGTCGTCAGAATGTATGGGATGATGGTCTGCTCGTCGACATTGACGCTCAGAACCTGACCCTTCTTGTTAACACCAATGATACCATTCGTTGCCTCGTGCTCAGCTGTGACGAAGATGGTTTCGCCGGAAATGCGGTTCATGTAGATGCACGCGCCGGACTCAAGATCATATAGATGGATGAAGCCGTACTTCGTGACGAGGTAGACGATGCCATGCTTCTTCGACACCTGCATCGCAACTGGGAAGTCGTTCGTCGCCTCCGGTGGGAAGTATACGTCCACTGCCTTCTTCGTGAACGGGGGATCCGGTGCTTGATGGTCGATCTCCACAATATGCAGCTTCGCGCCCGTCGCCGTTCGCACCGAGAATGTGAACAGCTTTGTCGGCTTCTGGTGCCCATCCAACTTCAATTCCGCAAACGCAGCCGCGTGCCCCTCGATGGGCTGGCTGACACCCCTCTCCCTGCTGTACAGTTGGATGGATCCCTTCACCTTGAACGCAGATGGATTCGTCGTGTTGCCCGAAATCCCAATGAGCACGAGCCATTTCTCGTCCGCCGACGAGCGATAGTTGATAATCTGTGCACCAACCAATGTTGGATGCCGGTCGAAGATCTTCTGGGGCGGAGACGTCGCATCGGTCATGGACCAGTGGTATACCGCAGAGTCGGTGACCATGCCGATAGTCGAGTCTGAGATCCATTTCCAGAATACGACGTCTTCATTGTTGACATGCGACTTGACTTTCTGCTTGGTCTCGAGGTTGAAGATCTGCAATGTTCTACCCGCTGTGATGCAACATTCGTGATCTCTCTCTGTGCAAGTATGTCGTCTTCACTTACCCTTCAGTGCCAGAATCTTCTGGTGCGGGTGCATGATAGCAGAGTCCGCGGTAATGGGTCTACGTAGCACATTGTTGGCATCCGCGAGATCGATGATAACGACTTGGTTCGTCTCTCCGACTTTCTCTCGTACACAAATATAGTGGTCGGACTCAAGGGTCAAGGTCTACGTGTCACGCCTGCAATGAGTGTCCACGCGTTCTTCAATTTCGGTCGTGCGTACCTGGAACGAAATGGACGCCGGCTGCACGCCAATCGCGGAGAGTTGAAGGTGCTCGCAAAACGCGATGGGCTTGGAGATATCCATCGTTGCTGCAAGACGATAGTGAAAAACACGTCGAGCCCGTCAAGAGCTGCGTCCTACAGCAGTGGTCGTGGTATGGATATGCCAGTCGGTCTTCGGTTTACGTGTGTTTACCGCCCATGCTGCAACGTCACATCGCTATATTTTGAAGTCTACTACAAACATCATTATCAAGGAGAATCATGCCGCTACATTCCTAGTATCCAAGACTGTTCAATACGGCATGCCGAACATCATGCCCTCTGCCAATGGTACGAACGTTGACGCAATATGGTATGTATACAAGTAACATGATGTACGTAGAACGTGCAAACGGACACTACTCCTCAGCCAGCGCCAGAGCCTGCTCGATGTCCTCCTCTTCCATCAGCGTTGATGCAGGAACGGCATTGCCGAAGTATATTCGTTGGCCAATGATGACTTGAGAGAGGTTGATGCGTAAATCGTGAAAGCACTTCACTGATATCTCCAAATCCAAACTCACCACAATCCACGGACAATTGGAATACTGAGCAAATCTTGAATTGCACAGGAGAGTTCTGGACGAAGAAGTACGCTGTCCTGCAGGCTTCGGTCAGGATACTCAGAAAATGTGAGACCACTGTCGAGGCTCACTTGAACGCGTCTCCTCCTACCCATCCAAGCAGCGTTGACAGCCGGAAGCCATACAACGACCGTTGTTTGTGATTGCTGCAGAAGAGAAGTCTGAGCTCGCAATCAAAGAATACGATGGCAATATCCTCCCTACCTAATAACCTGCGGTATCGGCAGGGTGCTCTCTACTCCAAGTGCAACAAGCCCGAGAATGAAGATGAATATTTCGGAGCGACCGAAGATGAGGAAGAGTATCGCTTGGCATAATCTATGCGAAATATGATGAACGCCAGAGATATTGTAGACAAGCTACATATGCCTACAGGAAGCCGGCAAGGAATTCAAGGTATTGAGTGTAAGTAGGCCATTGCCAGAATGCGAACGGCCTCGTTGACGCGCCTATGTTCTCCGAGCTTGTACGCGGACGGTAACGTATGCAGATATATAGCAAGGCCAGCTACATGTACCGATCCGGTCAATAAGCACGTGGAATAAAGAAGCTGCTGAAAGCCCTAGAGACGTAAAGGGACTCCGTGTGACAAAAGTTCAGCAGCAACCGCGATGAGGCATCCTGCAAATTCGCATCGGTGGTCATACTGCAGCCGAATAGCATCACGTATGAAGCTTAATCCGACAGATTGGTTATGAACCTGCCGACATTACGGGCGCGTTACAGGCGACAGTGATGTCCGGTAGCGGAGTGGTGCCATGGATGCGATGACGTGCGTGAGGCTGAGCCCATCCATCACTGGTCCAATAGCTTTTGGAGTAGATTCTGCCTCGGTGCTCACCTGGGCAAGGATCATCAATAGTGACTGCAGCAACAGGGGGATCTCAAAGCGGCTCCCTAACCAGAAGAAGCATCGCGTGATGTTCGCCAGCAACCTGCGCGGTCTCAGACGTCAATGCACAACACGTCATAATTTTGAAATGCATCGCACAGAATGGCGCAAACGTCGCGAGAGAAACCTGTCGAGTCTCTGCAGCAAAGTCAGCTCATTTCCATCTCGGGTAAGACCGCGGTTGAACGCACTTTTTGCCAACTATTGAGTATGCCTGGTCCGCATAGACAAGCGGAGGTCCAACAGCCATGCCAATAGAGGCCAACGCAGACAGCCATGCTGGAACCATCGTGGACACTCGAAGACGAAAGCAAGTACCGAGCGAGTCGCTGGCAACTGGCGGTGCGCCCGATGACCCCGGGTCCGGCGCCACAGCGCAGTTCCTTGATCACGAAGGAGCGACAGCTACGTCGGAAAAGACACGCTGACTCAGCACGTCTACCCTTCGATGATACTGCGCCTTACGTATATGCGGATGGCCTCAGAAAGGGGAGGTCCTCGTTTTGGAAGTGGACGCCCTCTGGACGGGTATCCTAGCTTATGTCAGTCAGCTGAGTATAACACAATCGTTCCTCTATTAAAGTACTCAAGTACTCAAGCTCAAGTACAGTACTCAACGTTCAATATGAGGGGCGCCAGCGGACAAAATTATGTGAGCTTAAGATTTGGACTATTTTGATTAGAATCGGCTCGTTTGTGCTTTCGCGTTGTGGCGTACGCTTTGGCACCTGATGTAAGCGGCTTGCGCTTACAGTTAAGACTTGTGTTTATGACGCGCGCTTGTGCTCAGGCTGCGCCACCAAATATATTCCTTCATTTCCTCTCACCTCCGTGCCTACAAGTGCCCAGGTGTTCACTGCGCAGAGCCCACCTCCTCGATTCCTCTCTCAGTACTTCCCCTCTACCAGCCCAAAATGACATGATAGACCAGGCAGCAGAATGACAGTGGCGGTGGAACATGCACATCAAGGACACTGTGCGTGGTTGAGATCTGGATGTTCTGTAAAATAGAATGGTCTGATGGGATTCTGCTGGCCGCTAGTGTAGTTACACATCCTCCTGAACAATACAGGCATGTTCGCAGTGTCTGCCTCTCCTGCAGCATCCGTGAATGGCCCGGATCCAATGTCGGTCTCTCTCATAGTGCTGGGTGGTGATGCCTCAAAGATGCAGCATCGAGAAACCCCAGGTCATGCACTGTACATGGCTCAGAAACATGAGACAGGGCCGCTTTTGCTCTGCCAGTTGAGCAGCATCACCCGTTTGCGTGTGAAGGGTGCTCTAGCAGGATACATGGCCGACGGAATGGCTCGGAATGGAGATAGTGGTGCAAGCGCGCCTGCGTGACTCATGTGACAGATCGGAACATGCCGAAATGCGTCGTGTCAATCAAAGCATAAGCATAATCAACGACCATAGGCGAATAATCCTTTTTGAGGTGCATATATACACAGAAACGTGCCGAAATCAATGCGCTATCCGATTTTAACACCTAACTAGGTGAGCATAAACCGTCATTCTCGTTATCTCGAGCACAATATACTTTTGTCCGCTCGGGCGCGCCAAAGTTCAACGTCACTAACGTCAACGTTTGGCGTTCTGATTGGTCGTCACGCCGAACGAACCACTTGTACCAAGAGACCGCTGTGTCTGATACAAAAGTTCATGCCACGGTACTAGCAACTCGAATCATGTTTCGTCAATGTCTGAGCCGCCCCGTTCAATTCGCAAAGCATATTCGCGCGCGACGAGATACCGTCTCCCGAAATATGTATTGCACTCAAGCGTCGCAGAAATTTGACTTGGTAGGCACCTTCGCTAATTCAGAGCGATCTCGCCAATGTCGATGCATAACTTTGCAGATGAGATTCCCTCCCCTGCCGAATCTCAGCGTAACAGAGTCGTATCATATGAACATAGGCACACTCGATCCTTCCCGGCTGTCCCCGGACGACTACCTGCACCTCGAGGGCTGGTCCTGCTTCGTTCACGACCGGAATTCCCTTGTCCGGGGAGACGGTATTGACGAGTGGACACCGACATATAAACAGACCGATGAAATTCTCTTCTCGCCCTATTACGACTGCTTGTCCTACGGACTCAAACCATCTTTCATACGTCCTTTCCCTCCCAATACGCGCGGGTTTCTGTATTACTCCTATCCTGCGGCGGGGTCGCGCGGGATCGAGTACGAATTCATGGGAGAAGTCCGTTTCCGCCTTTGCGATCATCCCAGCCTCGAATCTTTTTCTCAAGGAGTAGACCTCCAGGATCATGCCTGCTGCCCGATCGCATGGCGCATCCATTCACTAGACATCGCTGCGCTGCCAGAATACGCAATGTTACATCAGATGCTTGTACGAGATGGATTAGTTCACCCATTGGGGATGGAGCATATGAGATGGACAAGGGCTTATGACCCTCAATTCCGGAAATTCTGGCAGGTTCCACCCAACGCGATCTACAACATCGATGACCCATTCTGTATCGACCTCGCTGACCGCGACAACGTGTTGTGGGTGGTGTACGAAGATATAGTGTACAAACTGCCGATGAAGACTAGATTTCTGGATATGAGAAATGGGCAATCGTTTGCGCCGTATCGTGGTAAGCACGTCCGCCAATGCAATTCGATCTCAGTCGTCGAATGACAGCACGAGTTGTAGGCACTATTCTCGTGAAATTCGAGCGATCGACTCTCCCTGAAGATAAGGGTTGGCGTACCCTTCTCTTGCGCGTCGTGGATATCGTGAAACCTGTCAAATGCGTCCTTCCCGCGTATGATGAATACGTGAGTAGACCGACATTAGGACAACTGCTACAGCGAGGTGGCCGTCCCATCAAATTCAGATGCGATTCTGAGAGATCTTCATCGCAAGCCGCCTGGACATGCGAGTTTCTTTATGGATACGAAGATGATGTCGAATGATCTTTGCGATGATTTATGCGGCTCATGTATGTACAAGGAATACAGTGAGCCACAAAACTGTTGCAATGTTTGCAACAGTTGCATTGTTTGGCTTATATCTCAGGAATTAAAATCGCTAAATATGCAAATATATATATCATTAGAAAGCCTATGATATGAACTTTCAAATGGCACCTGAATGAAGTAACTTGGTCTACTGGTTGGTGAGATACAAAATATTCTTTACAAAAGATGCATTGCAACAGTTTTGTGGCTGACAGTTTTAGATATAAAAGTTTCCAACTTCAGTACTTTGTGTAGCCTCCCTTTGCCCTCAACACAGCTCTAACCCTGTCTGGCATACTGTCAATTAAGTTCTGACAGACAGAAGCCTCAATACCATTCCATTCCTTCTGTACCCTGTCCCAAAGGTCTGCAATTCCTCCAGGTGCATTTTCAAATGCTGCCAGCCTTCTTTTGAGATGGTGCCAGAGGTGTTCTATGGGGTTGAGGTCTGGATACTGTGCAGGCCATACCATAGTCTCAAACCCATGCTCCTCTAGCCACTTCCTGGCTTTCTTGCTGGTGTGCTTGGGGTCATTGTCTTGCTGAAATACCACATCCTCCACAGTTTTACCCTATTCCTCTATGCTATTCTGAAGTTCATCCTCCAGAATAGAAACATAAAGGTCAGCATCCATCTTGCCATCGATCTTGCAGGCATATCCAATCCCTTCCCAGCCCATACACCCCCACATCATGAGGCTTCCTCCTCCAAACTTGAGTGTCCCTTCCACCAGCCTATCACTGAGTCCCTCCCCTGGCTTCTTCCATGCCCATTTCCTCTCATCTGACCCTAACCTGTTGATTTTGGTCTCATCTGACCATATAACCCTCCTCCAGTCCTCCACAGTCCAGTGCTGATGGCTAACAGCAAAGTCCAGTCTTTCTCTCTTATGACGCTTAGAGAGAAGGGGACATTTATGCTTTACCACAGCCTTCTAACCAGTGCTTTTGAGCTTTCTACACATAGTCTCCACATGAAAGGGCTGGTTGACAACATCTTAGAGAAGTTTGGTGACTTCAACAGCAGTATCTGCCTGTTCAGTGGTAAGAAGGCGAGTAGCATGGCGAATGATTCCAGGATTAAGCTTGCTAGGACAACCTCCGCCAGATGTAGGCATGTTAGGATGATGCTCAGAGCAAATTCTGGACACAGTGGAGTAATGGACTGTAGTCAGATGAGCAATCTGTCTAACAGAATGGCCTTGATCAAGCAGGGAGAGAATGTGGGCAGTCTGAGTAGCGGAAACCTTCTTCATGATGGTTGTGTTGAAGTTGAACAGTCTGTTTGGTGTTGATCAACTCATGTTGAAGTTCAACAAAGATCACATGATCAAACTTTAAACCTTAAAGCAAACAAACTTCTGCAAGGAGGTATTTTTGTTTTCAGAGTTGTCAGCCACAAAACTGTTGCAATGCACTTTTTATAAAGAATGTCTGATATCTCGCCAACCAGTAGGCCAAGTTACTTCATCCAGGTGCCATTTGAAAGCTCACATCATAGGCTTTCTAATGGTATATACATTTGCATATTTAACTATTTTGGTTCCTGAGATATAAGCCAAACAATGCAACTGTTGCAAACATTGCAACAGTTTTGTGGCTCACTGTATAGTGGAGGAGGACATGCAGGTTCGAACGCTTCTCGGTCAACACCGGAACTTGGCGAATGTCTTTCTGTTTGGTGATTCAGTTGGCTGTCGCAAGTGTGTTCGTTGGCTGACAAGGATTGTTAACTCGATGTATGAATCGCAAAGCGACATAGTCAAGTCTTCGATTGATCAGTGATTGTCTCACCACAATCTGTGGACAATTGAATCTTAAGTTGTGCAGGAGACTTGTGCATGCAGAAGTGTGCTGCTCTGCGTGCCTCAATCATATCAATGCTCAGGATCTCTCAGCAGAGTCGCCATCTACATAAACGCCGCACAGGATTGTTGCTCGTGAGTGTTTCGCGCTCGGCACACAATTCAATATGTTCCCTCTTATTATTTCTATTCATTAGTAGAGTACTTAGACTACATCTCCAGGGCCATAGATCTCGCGAACAAGTCACAGACAGTGGGGACCAGGACGCGTACGCAGCACGGTCGGCGAACAGTATGATATAAGTACAGCAAGAAAATGACGAGGTAACAAAGCGATGACAAATATCCCGCGAAGTGAGCACCGACAAGAACAGCAGGCTCATCTCACCAATCTACACAATCCATGAAGATCCCTCTGGGATCTGTCGCCCCTCAAGCCATCCCACCCATTTGCGCGACAAGGTCTTGCCACGTAGCTTGCGGATGTCCCTCAGGAGAGTATGACCGTGGATCATTCCCATCCTGCGATCCAGACGGTGACGACACAAATGCCGTCATGTCACCCCCCATCCCGTAATCGAAAACAGGGAAGTACGATGGGAACGATGGCATCGACATCCCTTCCATTTGCAACATTCCCGATGCCTGAGCATGGGCCTGAGCCTGAGCTTGCGCCTGAGCCTGAGCCTGAGCATGTGCATGCGCATGCATGGAATACGCGTCGGGTGACTGCACGAAGGATGTGCTAATTGGGGAGAGTTCGTGCATCTGTGAGTGCGGATCGTACGACTGCGAATTGGTTGGCGAGTGGTTGAAAGACTGCGAGTGAGAGTGCGGATGATGCTGCGTGGCTGCGGGGTGCATGCCCACTTGTTGCACCTGCACGTGTGAAGGATCGTACTGCACGTTTTGTACTTGAGAAGCCGACGGCACAAATGTCTGCAGATATTGCAGCACTGAGGGGTGAACGTTCTGTTGCTGCCAGTCCGCAGGTAACGGCACGATTGGGTTGAGTGATGTCGGCGAACGGTCAGGAATCTGCGGCGAGAGTGACTTCTCCTTCGATGCAACTAGGCGTGTGCGCCCGCCGAGAATGTTAAGTTCGTCCTGGGCGTCAGCGGGTGTCGTCGGCTCGGACATGGAGGTCTTGACATGAGGAGGCGAATTGCGGAATGCAGACAGACTCATGCGCGCTTTATCACGCAATCCCTGCATGATTTCCTAACGGCGACGTGAGCACCATGTATCTGTCGTAATCTGCCGGCAAGAACACTCACCAGCACCTTCTCTGCGTGGAAGCACCTAGCCACCTTCGCAAATAGCTCACACGCCGACTCGAGCTGCGAAAGCGCCGATGGTGCCAAGCTCATGGATGGACAATGCGTCACGATCGATCCCAAGATGATCTATTGTGGGGCATGATGGCTGGCGTCAACAAGCGACCCCTCCATACGGGAAAGTGGACTGACCGAACATGAGAACAAATGTGTCCATAAGAACCACATGCGCTCTGTCAGCTCTTTCAATTGCGAATGAATGTTGCGAACGAGAGCGACAAGCGATCCGGCGCTGCGATACGCCGCAATAAACGAGCTGCCGTACGGGCTGCCGAGAGGATCTTGCGGATGATCGTTGATTGCCCGCGCGAAGAACCCGCGGTGCATGTATAACAGATCTGCGGAGAAGAATTGACGAAACATGCTAAGCGAGGGCGTAAATCAGATCAAGATCGGATACGAACTTGTTTCACGAATCGCAAGCACGACGTGCCGCTGCAGGATGAGCGGGACACTGTCAGCGAAATTTCCGACACGCGCATCTGTGCTGCCGAAGCCAGCAATTTGCAACAGCGGGGGAACGGGAAATGCGCGTAACTTCCTGTCGAGCTGGAGGACCGTACTGTACGTGGGCATCTTTGCACCAAATGCCTGATCGTATACCGAGTTCATGCATTCTGATGTGAACTTGTGCTTCCACCAATGGACTGAGTGCATACCGAAGTGAGCGATCTGACCTGGTGCTAGCAAAGAGAAACATACAGGTTTCCTCGCCGTTGGGGTCCTCCAAATGAGGCTTCTTGCAGTCAACATGAGCCAGAGTGAATGATGGTGGGCGACCCAGAGTGAACGACTGGAAATAATCAATGAAGACAAAACAGACAGTGGCGCCTGAGATGTATCACTCACCTGCAAGAGATCATACGAGTAAACTTCCCAGAATATCTCGCGCCGCCGTTGGATCTCCACGTGCGCCACATTCCAACGACCGGCATCGCGATCTATCACGGACATCAGTCATCCTGTCATTGATACCCCGACCGGTGATGGCACTCACGTAATCCCATCTGCATGCAGATGAGCCAGATCCAGTCGACAATTTAGACAAAGTCCAGCACTGCCTCGAGCAAATTCGACTTACGCTGACGCTCAACTTGACCGCGAGTCCCATGAATGCCCATCGTGTTCCAACGCCAGTGCCGTGGCGTTCGCAAAGGAAGAGGTAGAAGGCCATCAGATACTACTCGGCGTTAATCATGCCGCATCAAATCGAGGAGCAACAATTCAAGCTCAGTGAATCAATGTGCGATTCTTGCTTCTGAGCTACTCACCAGCGCCTGCACAGCACTCAAAGTCGGCTCTTCGAAGATGGGGCTCTGAAACAGGGCGGCTCGGGCAAGCTGGTGGTACTTTTCCGCTTCCATATTGTAGGCGGGCCGAGTTAGGTCCATCAGACTCCCGATAGCAAGAACAATGTACATCAGCGCAAGCTGATGCCCAACAACTGCGTCGTCCAAGGGCGGAGGCGTGTGACCGTAGAAGACGCTGTACGCCGATTCGTCAAATGAGGCAGCGGACAACGGATGATACCTGATCAATAATGCATCAGAAGGCGACGTCGCATGAGTCGTCAAGCGAGAAGAGACGGCCTTACATCCAAGCAGCATGTTGGAAGTATACATGGCGTAACTCTGCTGCTTCTGCCTCCGGAGGCAAGTAGCACAATAGAATTTGAAGGCGTTGGAGTCGGTCCATCTCAGTCTCCAACGTTGGAGGGATATGTGGAGCAACGGGGAAGACTCCGCTCAGTGCCAAGACTTCGGGCGGCAGAAGCTGCCGAAGGTTTGCTACTCGCTGATCACGATCCTCTTCTCGAGTGCTCTCGTTCTGAATTGAGAATGTGCGCAGTTTGAATCATGTGAGCAGTGACGACTACCCATGTGACAAGCTGAATATCCGTACCGTAAGATAGTACTGCATAACGACGACAGTGTTAGCGAGAGAAATGATGGGCGAGGAACAAGAAAATCATACCCAAGAGCTCGTTGCATGCCCGAAGTAGCTGGTTCGGCCGGAATCACTGATAGCTAATGAACCAAACGAGTCAACGACATCGTTTGCCTCGTCATGACTGTTGCCGTTCGTATTTGCAAAGTGTGCAAGCCCTTCACGTTGTATGGGGGCCTTGATGAGCAAAAGCTCCTCCGATAGTAACGGATGAGGGTCAGTAGAAGTGTTAGAATGAGAAGAGCGTAGGCCATCCTCGAGATCCCGTATCCTGCTGGACAGTGCTGCGATCTTCTCGTGTAACTCTTGCGTAGACGCAAGAACGAATCTGCTGAACAGATAGAATGAGTGGTTGATTGCATCAAAAGAGGGCCTGGGATTGACCGGTTGCCCTTGCCAGTTGTCAGGGAGCCTTCGAAAGATATGAAGCAAGTCACGCGGCGACAGCAGGAGGAGGAGAGCTCACCATCGGGGCATATCTGAGAGCATCCTCTCTTGATGCAGGACCCACATGGGATCTGTCGGTCACATCGTAGTTTCAATCTAGATTCGAGGCGAGAACGTTAGTCCTAGTGCACCAGACAGCGCCGATCGATGAGTGCCCACCGCCGGCATTCGGCGCAGGAGAGACGTGTAGCACCACGCTTGCGCTTTTTGGGAGCGAGAGTGCCATTGCCGTTAGTGCCATTAGCGCCATTGAGGGGGACGGCGAGGGGATTGAGGAGGACGGCGTCGAAGGAGGACATGGCGGATGATGGCGGACGTAAAGAAGAGGCGTTTGCAGCTAGGCGTTATATGCGCCTTTCGCGGGGCGGCAGATGCCAACTGAATCGGCAACTAGCGATCGGGCACCGACCGTGGAGTAGATCAAGCACGCGGCGCTACATTTCCCAATTCCCCGGTTTGGAGTTGTCAGTCATATCCTCGCGCATGGTCCATCCTTCTTTCACTTGCCCCCATGCCCGATGCGATATTCTCCTTCTCACAGAAGCTTGTCTTCTAGCTTCGCGGTGTTGCTGTTCCTTTTGCTAGTGTTTCTGCACTCCTTCTCGATGAGCATAAAAGAGCTACAATAGTTATCTAGATATGATCTCGTTTACTTTGCTTCCGGCCCCCCCAGTGGCCCGCCACAAATCGCATCTCTCGGCGGGGCAAGCCTTCCAGTCTAGTCAGTTCACAGTCAGGGAACGCCATGCGAACAGCATGCTTCTGTTGTATCGAGCTTCCCGCTCCTGCATGCTGGATAGAATGAACGGGCTCAATGTGTTGCAACCTGAGGTGTCCACATGTTCCTCTAGAAGGTACGCCCTTGAGAGGCAATCACTGCCGGCCACTGCAGCTAGGATTCACCATTCTCATTTTCATTTACTCAGGCATAGCCCCAACGCCGTTGATCAACGAATTGTGCGGTCAGTGCACCGTAGACATCCGCTGTATCTCGCACTTCACTAACATCTAGATTCGGCTAGGCCTCTCCAGTCAACCTTTCCGAATCATATAGAAACTTGCCCATGAGAACCGTTGAGCACAGACAAATCATTTCTTCTTGGTTACCGTTAATACGCAAATTTGAGGTCAAGTCTGTTTTTGACCCAAGGCATGGTGCCGGTGGAGTCTGACGTTATCCGGTCCCAAAATTGAGCTTTGCCTAGAACGGTAGAATATCAGAAGAACGCAGCGTTGCAGAATTAGTTCATGCGGGATGATCAAGGAGCCTCCGTCTTCTACATCAGCGGCAAACGTCCCGCGAAAACCTTCAAGGCTCCAGTTCGTCGCAGCTCCTGGACATCCCGATGGCATCCAGGGCGGCATCGCACTCTGAGGAGCCACACCGCCAAGAAGTCGCATCGTATCGGGCTATGCGGAATCATCTTGCTCAGCGCGTTCGCGGAGAAATGTTCCGTAGGAAGCTCTCGTCGATTCCGGGCAACCTTTCATTAAATCAAGCCGAGTTCGATGTTCCAGATGACACTAGAAGACGTATCTGAAATCAATTGCGCGAAGCTGAGCTGAAAATGAACGCTCGACGGGGTGGAGACGCGAGAGCGTACTCGCGCTTTGCGCTGCGTATTCATCCGCACCAGTCAAAAATCGGACTGAAGCGTGCGTCAGTTTCGGTAAGCGTGGAAGAGCGCGCCTATTAGCCAGACGTACTTAGTACATAAGTTAGCAATGAATACGGCGTAAGTGCTCAAAACGCCGTATATCCCACTACAACCGGAAGCCAAATTCATTCTGCACGACACATGAGAGAAGCTAGGTCTTGCGACTGTCAGTTCGAAGAAACGCTGAAGAAGTTATGCTATCGGGAGAACGCGGGGGAAATCAGGATGAAGAATCGTAGCTTCGCATTCTTCTGCCGTGACATGTATGCGGAAACACTGATATGTTTTCAGGTCTAATTGAATGGGACGACGCGATATCCTGTGATGCGGCACGAAATGTCGGACGTATGCCACGGAATCCCCGCGATGTCATCACGCTGGGACCGCCAAAAAATTAGGAGAACGTTCGCGGGATCCGGCGCACCTGCGCTCGCCGGTCCTGCGCGGGCAACAGGTAAGCGCCGTGACTGGCAGCCGGGTATGGCATTGACGGAAGACTGAACAGGCGATAAGGTGGAGGTGTATGACTTGACCGGGCCAAGCGGAAAGTTGTCGGCAGCAATTACGTTACCCACAAGGTCAAGTGCTATGCATGGGTGAAATGAACAAGGCCAGCACCAACCCAAAGAAGCTAGTTTAAAAACGCTGAATCCTTGCAAAAGCTTGTACACCGTAACAATGTCGCCCATTTCGAGCTGTTGTGGGGCAGGCCAGACTCTGCTACACGCTCTTCAAAGCTTGTGTCGAGCGTACGTGAGTGGTCGATAGTGCAACTGCACCCGTACCCTGAGTGTTCTCGCCTGACGCCTGACAGCACTGCGAGACAACGAGGCGAGGAACGCCAAACATATGTCAGATTTCTCAGCAGTCCCACTGTCACGGGGCTGCCACCATCGCATCGTCGCGATGATGTACTAGGATCGACCGATGATAAATGATTCGGCAGGACGCACGTACGATGAACGTAGCCCTTAGTGCTGCACTGATTTAAATCCGTGCCAGCTTACCGCATACAGTGCAGAATCCGGGCGATCGTGATCACTGCGCGCTCCGTCGAGGAGGACGTTGAAATTACTTACGTTGCGCGCCTGAATGCATCGGCTATCTATGGGTCAATCGATGATCGAATCTCCGCTGATCTCTAACCGCCATGTGCGACTGGGACCGAGTCTGAAACAACGATTGTCTCCTGCCCTATTTGGGTCGTGAATTTTGCGCGCTTCATTCGTGCAGGCTTTTTGTTTCATACGGCGACGAAGGTGCTGAGCAGGTTGGTGTTCATATTTGAACCGATGGTTTTTCTGGTGGGATGAGCTTCAGATGACGAGTCTGAAGTGTCGTGGCGAGGCTTCCTTGTCGCGGCTTCCGTGACGATGTCTAAAATTTATACCATTCATGCTTTTCTGATCCTGTCCTCTGCACAATATCCCAAGTTGATCAGATTTGCTGACATCGCCTACTTTATTCGCAGGCATGGCCCCTAAACCGAATAATGACTGGTCGGACTCAGATGATGAAGCGGGCTCGGACATCGAGACCGCCGTGCAGCTGGGCATCCCGGACGGTCCCGTGGAGAGTGCTTCCGATCTATGTGACGCGACAGTATCGCGGATAGGCGGGCATCCTGTACGAGTAGTCTCTCGCCTGCATGTACATTCTATATTGAAAGTTATTGTTCTTTCTTCGCGAAATGCTAGGCGTTTCTCACATCGCCGGAGCCGGTTCTTGAAAATGCGACATGCAGAAACTGCAGGCAGCCCATGCAATTGCTTGTCCAAATGTGGTGCCCACTCGAGGACAGCCCGAACGACCGCGTGATGTACATTTGGGGGTGCGCGCGCGGCACATGCCAGAAGAAGGAGGGAAGGTGAGTGCGATGTGCGTTTACTCGTGCTTGTTCTCTTTCAATAGCTATTGACGCCATGCCATAAGCGTACGCGCATGGAGAGCATTGCGATACAATAAGAAGTACGCAAATAAGCTAGCGAAACATAAGGCTAAAGAAGAGGATGCAGCTCGGGCTGCCGCCGCTGAGGCAGCTAAGAGGAGTGCTCCCAAAGCCAACCCATTTTCGGTGAGTCGATGCGCGCTACTATCCCAAGAGAAGCTATAGTCGGCACAGATGAATATAGCCTCATCACCTCCACTTGGCCTCGGCGCACGAATTTTCGGCAACGCATCCGCATTGCCAACGTCTGTCGACACACCAGCGGAGAGCGGCGGCGAAGTTTCCTTTTATGGCAAAGAAGACAGTGATGAGGAAGATAACGCCGAAGACGCCAACGAGGACGAAGAACTAGTGGCACGCATGCAAAGCGCACATCTGGATCACTCCGAATGGGCGTCTGCATCCGCATACTCGCCATTGTATCTATCGACGGAGTCAGAATATGTGCTCCCGGAACGTAAAGTGAAGGTTCCTGCTGGTGCCGACGACATCGATGAGGACCCAGGCAAGAAGGGCAAAGATGCCGGATGGGCGCTGGAAGGCTATGGGAATTCCATTAACATCGACCACGCCTTTGAGCGCTTCACGAAACGCGTCGGGTATGAGGGCGAGCAATGCTTACGGTGCGCTTCCATGTCATACTATTTATATTAAGCTGACACGATTACTATGAACAAGTTACGAGTTGGGCGGGACTCCTCTTCCGTTCGCAAGCGACAGCGTATTTAACAAGCTGTTTCCTTTGCCGCCTTCCCCTGCCATTTTCGTGACGAAGGCTGAGTTCATGGTCACGCCGACGGCAAAGCGGACATATACGCCTGCTGCAATCCCACCATGCCCGCACTGTAAAGGGCGGCGAGTGTTCGAGTGCCAGCTAATGCCCAACCTAATCAACGTCTTGAAGACATCAACGGCGGAAAAGGACAAAGGCAAGAAGATAAGCGACGAGGAACGGAGGCAGGAGGTGATGCGCGTGCTGAAAGGCGGGCGAACGGCGGACAGGGTGGGGATGGAATGGGGCACATGCATGATCTTTTCATGCGAGCGGGATTGCTCCGACGAGGCCGCTGGAGCATGTTGGCGGGAGGAGGTGGTGCTTGTGCAGTGGGAGGATTGAGCCCGTACTGAGACTCTTCGAAGCCATAATTCTGATAGCCACTCGTGAATAGCGCACCATTTTAATAGTGCGTCTTTCATAAATAGCATCGCGTCCGAAGTCAGAAAATTGAGGCGGTCTCCACTGACGATAGGATGGTATTTTGACGACATTCAGTTTAGTCATTGTTGCTCCAACATGACTTAGCTCAAGCGTGCAAGGATTGAGGATCTTGCCTTATCGATTTCTCGCACTACTTCTTCGACGTAACACCGGGGATTTGGCGCATGGAGAGCCGAATGGTGCAGTACTCTCAATGCTCAAGAAGCTGGTACTAGTTTCACCGTCTTTACTGTGTGCAATAAAGTGTCGACTCCATCCCTCGTGAGCATGACAATTTCCTTCCTGCTCCTGTGCATACGCCAGGACTGTCAAAGTACGAGTACTGGAAAAGAACATGTTCGCATGCTTATGAAGTTCATTGCTGCCAGCCTCGAGGCCTGGGGCGAATCGCGCATTTAGGAGCGCTTGAGACCCTCTCGTCGCATCTCTTCCATTGATATCAATTCACCGACGCAGCTGTGCTTAAATGCTATGAATGTCCCCAGATTATCCTCAATGACACCTGCCTAAGTTGGCAGTCGATGTGTCTTCGATATGCATAATTTTCAAGTTGTCACAGAACAAAACTTGATAATGACCCAACATGTCCTCCCTTCATCCCCGAGGAAATGAGGCCGAAAGAGATTCAATGCCGACGTGGATCCCCAAGATACAGACCGTAAGCTGTATTCACCGGTTGCGAGTATTCCTAATACGACGGCTGAGTGGGTTTCGCCGCTTAGCGTGATGGACAAGGCAGTTATCATTTCCTAAAAGTACAACTATAATTGTGGTCGAGTCAGCAGATGCAGTGGATGACTCCTTGCTCAGAGACAAACAGGCAAAGTAATCAAAGTGTCCTACCCAAAATCCGTTCGAGAATAGGAGACAAACTTGAATGGATCACCTGAGCATTTATTGTGGCTCGACTCGAGTCTGGCAGCTTGCGACTGACGTACTCTGCAGATGGGACGGTTGCATGTGTGCAGGATAATAAGGATCTCATTGAAAATGTCGCGACTCTTTCAGCAACCTTCGGTCGTCTTTGGCATCACAAACGCTGTGGAATTGGGGATTCGAGTCCTTGCTAAGCGAAGCATCAGGCGCGATACCAGTGATTCGTCCGTTTTTGAAAGCTGAACGATAGTGTATCCCTCCCAACGGCGCGAAATCCCTGATGTTGTCATGGAGTGTCGTTCTTGCATTCAAGGACTCCGCCAATAAACTCGAGACAACCAGCAGAACAGTATCTTCTGTATGACAAGGTGAGAGACACGCCTTGATACTCATCGAAGACTATCAACGGAAAGAAGTGCCCTTCTTAACTCTTGCAATAAACTTCAGGCTTCAGAATATCAGAGATTATCGACGTTTGCGATCTGACTGGCGGCGGCAGCGAGAAGGCGGGGTGAGAACTTTCGATTTGCAAATGCAGCATCCAACCTTGCATGTGCCATGGCAATGTCAATAAATGCAATGTCCGTAACAAGATGAATCTGATTGTGAAAATGCTCAGTAGTCCAAGAGACCAAGCTGGCAGCCGTGTTTCGAGAAGTTCGTAGTTCGCTTCAAGGTCGCAGCCTCGCAGGGAGGAATTTAACTACACGGTTTAGTCATGCGGTCGACGATCAAATAGTATCATAATACATGAAGGCGTTCAAAAACTTTGAATGCAAAACTAGCCGCTCCGCATGCGTCGATGTTATGATTACACACATACCGCAGGATTAACGCCCTGGCGATGAATTCGTGCGACTTTGCAATCCTCGGATCGTCCTAGGTGAGAGGCCTCGCTAACGTTTTCGTGTCGCAATCTGAGTTTTGTGGTTGTGACCGTAGATAAGGTTAGAGTTTAGCTTACATAAGCTACTGGTATATAATTTGCTGTTTCTACTTGTGCAGCTCCTTATGAGCTTGCCCAGTGGCCGTCAGGCCCAATACAAGCTCTCTTTCCATGCTGTGTTGACCCCGCTGCGTGACGGTGCTATGACCGTACACCAATTTCCACATTTCGTCCTGTTGAAATTGGGTGGATCGTTCATGGCACTTCTGCGAAAGGAACTGCTTAAACACTGTTGGAAAGCCGAGTCCCTCCTTGTAGCCTCAATGATCAAGAAGATGACATCACAGGCCTCCGAAGCTATGCAAAGAGCTCAGCAAAGCCTTCTAAAGGTATTGTCAAACTTCGATTCATTCAAATGCAATTTCGAAAAGCGGCAATGAAGTCAATAAAGTGCTGCTGAAGAAATTGAGGATTCGTTCCGAGCTACTAGTGCCAACCTCTTCATCGTTGCAAACAACTTTGCTAATCCTCATGAGAAAGTGGGCGACACGGTGGGCCAAGCTGCCTGATGACCCAGCATCCCCGGCCTCACAATGAGCTAGACTATTTCCATCTGTATGGCAAGAGCAACGTTGCCTGATGGACTCCACTGATTCGCTCATGTGTGCAGGCGTGGCGAGGAAGCGTCAAAATCATGACATGTGGCACTAGAGCCATATGGGACCAGTCAATGTATCTGGCTTGATCTTACGTCCAGCAGACTCGGGACATGGATTGAATATCTCGCCGATGACGAACAGTCCCTCGTGTCATGCCATGTTTTCGGAGACCCTCTGAGCCTGATGAAAGCATCAAGTTTCATGCTGCTGGTGGAGCCGTGGAAGTGGTACCCAACAATCTCACCGGAGATTACGAAATCTCACCCGACGGTGAAGTGCCCTATGCACTCAAGTGATTTTTTCCTTGACATGCTATAAGAGGACGTACAGAAGTTCTCTGGAGCGTCGACTCCCACTCAGATCCATGACAGGATTCTGGTTGAGGTCCAGGACAGAGTGTCGCACGCAATAGAACGACCACCAGAGAAGGAATTCGATGACAACAGCGTACAAGCTCTCCGGCGTTTTGCAACCGCAGCAGATACTCAAACAGCTTCCTGTGAAGCAATTGGCCTGGGAGAAATCAGTTCTCGGTGCGACGTGCGAGAAAATTGGTGTGACCTCGTTCGCCGGAATGCTCTGTACTAGGGTTAGCATTGACCCAGAAGGAAGAGAAAGAACTCACGCGTTGTAGACAACCAGTAACCGTCTGATGTGAGATTCTGTATATCAATCTATCGCTAGTGAGTTGTAGAAATCACACCCTTCGTCGCACCAACCATTCAAGCAGTTTATTCGAGGAATTTCGGAAGAATAGGCGGTGCTGCGAGAACCGCGTTGCACGGCGCCGCAGAAGTCTTCGATGGTGCTAAGGCGACCGATTGTGAGGAAGACGAAGGTGGCACCACTGACCTTGTGAAGTCGTTGGCTTGTATCGCATGCCAAAAACGCGCGCGACGGCTGTATGACTATTGTGCTCTGAGTGCCCAAGCGAAGTATATGAACCACAGTAGGCAACCTGACTGGAATGCGAAGAGGAAGACTCAATATATGCGCAAGAGTTTGCTATCGAGAGAAGGATGAAGGAGACAAAAGCCGAAGATCCCAAGACGAAGGCAGGACATCAGGACGCGCAATGCAATCGTCCGGGTCAAATACCAGACTCTGGAGAAGGAAAACTTGAAGGAACTGCCAACCGTAATTCAACAAGTCGAACCCGACGGCGTCGAAGATTAATGTTTCTATCGCACCAAAACTCTCTTGCAGCCCATTTCCACTACATTGGGAGGGGACGACCGCTAGACTTGCGGCTAGACCCGGAGATACGCCATGGTCGGCGGGAGGTCCGTCGGTGCGCGCGGGCCACATTTCAGTGCTTAGCAGGAAGGATACGCCGGACGCCATTTGACGATAGGGAATGGGGGAAGGGGGCGCCTTGCAACAGAAGAGATCAAGTAGAATTGCGGCGTGACCGTTGGCGTTGGGCGTTAGCATTTCACACGACAACTGGAGTATATATATGGAGGCGGTCATTGATATTCTTGCACAGTGCCACAGGCCTGAGACGCGACGTCCGTGATTTCCGCTCCCATCTGCTTCAGAGTGATTGATATTGCACAATTGGGAGTTGCGGACACCGCGGTCGAGTTCCGTTGGAGACAGCCCCGGTACCGCCTGGACCTTCTGCCTCATTGCCTCATGGCTGCTGCGCCATCACCACGGTTATGAACGCGAAATTGTTGGAAAGTTGTTCTACTGATGCTGGAAGTGGGTTAGCATGCAAAAGCAAAATCATTGTTACCTAATCTAAGAGGGGGAACAATGATCAACAGCCACATAGTAGTCTTCATGCAATGCGAATATCTGACGTCGATTCCGGATGGTTACGATGCGAACAGCGGCGTGCTCAGCCTCATCCGAGGCCCCATGCCAAACCGGTGCTAGGCCCGATTACTTTATCCTGCTCAGCTCACATTAGCCGAACTGCGTTTTTCAGAGTCAGTTCTTACGTCTTGACCCCCGACCATCTCGACCACGCTCCTTTACGACGTTCACTTTCGTGATGCCGTCTGTGGTCACCACGAGCAAGTCGCGCCCGAAGCTCAGTTTCGCTCACTTTCTCACAAAGCTAGGCCCCTCATCAATCTCTCGCAAGAGCCGTTTCTATGTTGAACATGAAGATGAAGACGACCTTCCACCGCCACCGCCACCAAAAGAACTGTTCGTGACCAGGCCCCGCCGTCGACATGTAGAGAGTTGGCAACAGACCTTCACCGCCTATGACATCTCTCCGTTCGCTCGCTCGCCCTCGCCCGTCTCTTCATCAGGCACGCTGGAGGTCATCTCCGAGTACTCAGCTCGATCGCCTCTCTTCCTCACACGGCAGTTGCGACCTTCGGAAGCTAATCTAGCAGAGAACGTGCCTGCAACGCTCCAAGCTCCGTCGCCTGCAGGTGTGCGTGTGCAGCCTATACGCTCCTCGACCGCACCGTCACGCATCCCAATGGCCACGAGCCGCCCAACGCCCGCCCGCGGCCGCATTCCGCCGCGTCGCACTGTCTCAACCCCCGATGACGCTGAGATCCGGAGGAGAGAAATGATCCGCCGGAAGGAGATGGAGGAGGAGCAAGCTAGGAAGGAGGAAGCGGAGCGTCAGGCAAGGCTCAAGCGCGAGAAGGAGGAGATACTGAAGAGGCACATGGAGGAGGAAGAGCAGAGAAAGGCAGCATTGGAAGAGAAGTTGAGGAGGGTCGCCGACGAGAGGAGGAAGAAGGAAGCTATTGAGCAGGCTGCGGAGGAAAGGAGGCGGATCATTGTGGAGGAGAAAAGGCGCAAGGACAGAGAGAGGCGCCTACAAGAGACACAGAAACTACAGGCATGGAGAAGAGAACAGATGCAGCGCGCGCAGGAACTCTCGGGAAAGAGAGAAGAGTCACGGCGTCGCATTCAGGCGGAACGACAGGCTCTAGCCAAACAACTGAAACGTAACTCAAAGACCGCAGAAGGGCGCAACGTATTCCTATCGGGATGGGTAACTGTTCAAGCTGACCAGTCCCCGGCTTGGAAACGGCGCTACTACGAGCTGGACGAGAAGACTCTGTTACTTTTCAGGAACCCCGAAGTGCGTCTATGCTGCTCCCGCTTTACACATTAGCCAATGTCGTTTCTTGCAGGAGATGACCCAACCGCTCGAGGTTGTCCGTCTGGCTGATGTTCGTCACATCAGAGAGTGGCAGGAAGGCTATGAGGCGCTGGAAGGAGTTCCTCATTCTTTCGCCGTCGAGTTTCGCGATGGACGGGATGCCTGGTCCATGTTTGCTGATTCTGAAGAGGACAAGGTAAGCCAAGGCCAGCTATTAGTAGATCAAGGCTGCTGATCGACGGTCGACTGCTCTTGCGCTGCCGGCATCCAGGAATACCTCGTTGCGCTTCTCAGCGAAAACACGGCACCTTGACTTCCCTAAATGACGACGTGCGAAACGGTGCAGGCAGATGAAATGCTGCCGGACTGATGACTATATGCGTGCCAGTGAGCACTGGACTTGTTGACCATTCTGTTGGATCGGATGTATGTATATCCTTTCTCTGTATCCGTCGTGTCTGTGTGTACCATTCAGTGTAAAACAGCCTGGTACGATACTGTCGCTGTAATGGGTACCACAATATCCTAATACTAGGTCAATCCTTGCTTTATCCCCGTGGACGCGCAGCCACCGCGAGCGCTTGGCTAAGTTAGTAAGCGTCTGACATGTATGGGCGCTTCTGCCCGCGTAAGCTCTGGACTTGTGCTTGACCGCCTACCTCTGCCTGCATCCTGTCCACGACGTTCTCCTCCTCCTTCCCCATGGCGGGGCTCATCTCTCCAAAGCCAGTTTCCTACATGCACACCTTGCAATACAACGCGTACCAGCGTGGGCTCGGCGGGTACAACGACACGCCGAACCCAGGTCTCGCCCATTTGACACAGTCTACCGCTGCGTTCGTCGGGCACTCCCCCGCGACCAATGAACAAACGAAAATATACGCCTTGGTGATTGATCTGCTCGATGCCAATACGAGGGAGAGCGCTTTGCTGGAACTGAGCAAGAAGAGAGAGCAGTATGATGACCTGGCATTTGTGCTCTGGCATTCGTTCGGTGAGTGCATATGCATACATCCTCACGTCAAGCGTTGGAGTGGCGTTCCAAGCTAATCTGTATTGCCAGGTATTATGCCGGCGCTCTTGCAAGAGATCGTCTCGGTCTATCCTCTGCTCACTCCGCCTAACCTTACCGCCCATGCCTCCAACCGGGTCTGCAACGCCCTTGCGCTCCTGCAATGTGTCGCTTCCCACCCAGACACGCGCCAGCTCTTTCTCAATGGTATGTCATCAGAGTGTGCAATGGATTGTCGATACTGACTAACGCTTGTTCCGCGATGTGGCGTGCAGCTCATATCCCCCTTTTCCTATACCCCTTCTTGAATACTACTTCGAAGACCCGTCCATTTGAATACCTCCGTCTCACTTCACTCGGCGTTATCGGTGCTTTGGTCAAAGTATGTCATGCTCCTGCTTTCTAGCTCACTTTCGGGTTTACTTATTGACCTGACGCAGCAAAACGACAACAACACTGTCATCCACTTCTTGCTTTCGACGGAGATCATCCCACTCTGCCTGCGCATCATGGAGACCGGTTCCGAGCTTTCAAAAACTGTGGCGATCTTCATCGTGCAGAAAATCCTCCTTGATGAAACCGGATTGACCTACATCTGCCACACTTATGAGCGCTTCTATGCTGTCGGCACGGTGTTGAGCAACATGGTCAACCAGCTCGTCGAGACGCAGGCTGTGCGGCTTCTCAAGCACGTCGTGCGTTGCTATTTGCGACTCAGCGACAACATGAGGTAATCACGTTTGATATTGAGTGCTGCGCTGTGATGCTCATGGAATTCATCATTTGATAGAGCAAGAGAGGCACTACGACAATGCCTTCCGGAGCCCTTGCGTGACCAGACGTTTAGCGCATTGCTGAAGGTGGGCTTTTCTCCGTCCACGCCAGCATTTGCCCGTGCTGATGACGTTATCAACAGGGTGACATGGTCACGAAGAGATGCTTGAATACTCTACTGAACAACCTCAACGAACAATAGGACAGGATCCCGTCTCACTATCGCATCAGCCGGGGACGTGCATGCACGTCCGCCACCACAAGTGCTTGTAGCCCATATATACCTTGCTTGTTTCATTACGCTCTGTAGATTGCTCTATTCGGACTCTTGGTGTCGCAATGGGAATTGAAGTTGAACGTAGCGCGATCAGCATCATAATGTTATTAGTACACTACATCGTCCAATATATCTGCTCTGATTAGCGTCGTAGCCTACTATGTTAACAGTGTCATGGGCGGGAGAACGATGACTCTTCAACTTGGATGGTGAGCTCCTCAAGCCCGGTAATCCGGCTCCGAAGCAGCTTGTCAACACGCTCCACTACGTGGTCGATGTTCGCGTACGTTGTGCGCCGGGTCGAGTGAGGGCCCGTAGGGTCGTAGGAGGACGGCGAGGGTGCGAGTTGGACGTGGATGCTGCCGATGATGCTGTTATCGTCCTTGGGCCAGAAACGCGGTGACGTGTAAGATGCCAGGCCTTTGATAGATGACAGCTGTGTGAGAGTGGCTCTGCTCAGTCAAACCAAAGCGAAATTAGAGTTGCAGGTCGCGACAAACCTCCGAGAGCGTGTCCCTGATGCGTGTTTCCCGATCAGAAACGTCGAGCGCGAGAACCTTTCCCGTGTCGATGACGAGCGGAATGACGCTCGCGGCGATGAGCACTGCGATGAAGAGAGAAGCGATGGGGTCGAAGCCCGTCCAGCCATACCACTGGATCAACAGTGTGGAGATGATAACTCCGACGGACCCGAGCGTGTCCTAGAGCGAATGTGGTATAGAATGAGCAGCGTGGCCTATAGTGGAATACCGGCGTGAAGAAGCGACATACCGCCATGACGTGCAAAAACACACCGCGCATGTTGTGGCTGTGTCCCTCATGCTCGTGATGCTCGTGCACATGCGAATGGTCATGCAAATTCGGCTCGTGCGCGGACGAATGGTGCGTCTCGTAGTGCGTGTCGTGCTCGAATGAGTAGTGCGGCGTGATCGGACTGTCAGCGTGCGTTCCCGGGGAGTTGCTGACGAGTAGCTCATTCTCGCTCAAGCTGTGGTGGACGGCATGTCGTGTGAAGTGCGGGTGGGGCGAGGTGGGAGAGCCAGGCTCCATCCCGCTGACGTTGATGATCGGGTCCATGGTGTGTGAATGCGCATGATGAGCGGGAATGGGGGGCGATTCAGGCGGGGAACCCGAGTGCAAATGTGATTCCTCGTGTGCGTGCGTGTGCGAATGGGAATGCACATCGCCATGGGCGTGGTCATGATGATCATGACTGTGGCCGTGGTCTGGTGTCGGCGATGAGGTGGGCTCTGCGTGGCCGTCGCTATTATCATGACCATGCGAATGCGAATGAGAGTGAGAGTGTCCGCCCTATACGAGATATCAATCAGTCAGATGAGCAGTGCACCTCTCGTGCATCAATGAAATCAACGAACGTGGTGATGATGCCCGCCCATTGCGAACATGCCGAATAAGTTGACCGCCAGTCCCAACGAACTGACAAGCAACAGCTGACTAGTGTTCATCTCTGGCGGATCCAATCTGTTTGACTCCTGTCAGATGCACGTTGGAGAGGAATGGAAGGCACAGCACTGACAGTCGCTGGATGGCTTCGAAGACGATGAAGAGCGAAATCAAGATGAGGAAGATACCGTTCGCGAACCCAGACAGTGTCTCAATGCGTCCGTATCTGTGCATCCGCGTGAGCTGTGACTGGCGAGAGATCCGTAATGAGACGAACGTACCCATAGGTGAATCTTTCGTTCGGTGGCCATCTTGCCATCACAGATGCAATGAGGCCCACGCCAATGGCCATACAATCAAAGGCCATATGGATTGCTACGAGGTGTCAACTGTCATGAACTCTACACATAGAAACCTGATGCGTCTATATGCCTACCGTCCGATATCAGTCCCAGACTATTTGTCCATACACCGTACATCATCTGGACCAGCATATAGCACATGTTCAGCATGAGAAAGTAGAAGATTTTGCGCGACTCCGGATTAGAGAGAATGGACTTGAGGTAGGCACGGATCACACGCGAGCTGGTAGCATAAGGGGAGGGAGCGATCGGGTCGGATATCCGAGGGTATACGCCTACACGGGAAAGAAGGATGAGATAATGATACAAGACGAATGTGCTATTTCATGTGCAACATACCATAAAGCAGCAGCGACGCGATCAAGAAGTCAGACGGACGAGGATATCGACCAAACACCAGGAGACCAAACGTGACAGAGGCGAAAAGCGTCAGCGCATACGAGAGCAGGAAGTACTGGGCAGGAAATGCCGGGGACTTGGCAGCACGCGCGGCCTTGGGAGCTTGATACAGCAGTACATATGCGAGGAAAGGGAAGACGGACAGCGCTGTCAAGGAGATCGGTGAATGTATCGGGACTTCACTCTGCGAAGATTGCATAAATGCGGAGAATTTGTGTGGTATCAGACACTGTGAGACACTTACCATGACATGTCTTAACATATACAGAGGAAGGCTGAAGGAGAATGCACCCAAGGTACTCATGGCGACTGTTAATGGCTCGCCAAGGGACGGCAGGAGGACGCCTTGTGTATGGTCAAGAGCACTAAACGCTACTGCCTCCAAAGCTAAGCCACCATACGCAGGAAGAATCTCACGGAAGTTTTCGGTGGAGAAGTTGGCATCCGACAGAAAAGCAACTAGAAGAGCAAATGCAACGGCACAGGTTTGCAACAACTAAATCGCTAGTCAGGAAGCATACTCATCATGCCAATACACTGCGGACGCACCGATTTCGGCGTTAGTACTGACTTCAGCCACATCACAGAGAAGTGGGTGATTACGATGACCCTGCGCATTTCAGGCAATCAGCAGTAGCAGCTTAGCGATGGGAACATACCTTGTCGACGGTAGCCTGTAAAGTGCCGTAGCCAGACCTGCCTGTCTTAAGAACAACAGCAGCGATGACATGCCCAGAACAGACCACTTCAGATCCACATTATATGAATGCCAGTAGACAAGGACAAGGATGGGCGGCACACCTCGATCGTCCGTTTCTTTCGCAAGTGGCCCCCACTGACCGCCCATGCAATCATTCCTACAGCGCCACATGCCAGTATTCGTACGAGCACCCAGAAAACACCTGCGTCGGCGTGAAATAGATATGTCTTGCCGGCGTGAAGTGCCAGCACCAGCAGCATGTCAGAAAGCAGGAGCTGAGGGAGGACTGTGCTGTACTACTTTTCAGCTGGCAAAAGTGAACATTAGTTGATCCAAACATACGGTTTTTGGCCAATTGTCACAGGATTCAGTGAGACTTTGTGCCGTGTACGAGGATCCGTTACATCCATGGTAAATTGATGTTGCGACCGAACAATGATGGACGAGCGAGGAATACAACCTAGCAAGCTGAGGAGATCCGCCCTCAACCACCAGTCAAATGGAATGCGGAATCAAAACAACCCTGGCAATAGGTAAGACTGGTGCGTGAGTGCATGCGCGAGACGGTAGACGCTGATGTCCTTTCGCGCCCCGACACGGTCACGTGATACAGTCATCAACTGGTCACACCGCAGACATGAAGCAATTTGCGCATGTGGCAAATGCTTAGCAAATGTCGACAGGTTTTTTGCCTTTGTGATCTCAATTTGCTACAGTTCCTTCCCACATTCCATATTAAGTATTTGCATATAATATGTTGGAGGCAGAAATTTAATATCATATAGTTAAGAAATGACACCATTTTCAAACTCACCAAATACATTTAGAATTTGAGTG